CGACTGAAAAGCGACGCGAGCGACTTGGCTCGCGAGCCTAAGTAAATGCGCCATCGCCGCGAGAAAGTTATGGATTCGAGATTAATAAGCGTATTGTTACAACAAATTGTCCGCTATAATGAAGTCACTTTCCTCTCTATATATCCCGTGACCGCTTCTAATTCAATTACAAAAAGAAAAAAAAAAAAATTGCCCGAGAGGCCAATTTCACGCTAATCGCGAAGGGGAGAAAAAAAAGTTCGACTTTCCACGTTATTAATTCGCGATTCGCATGCCTAAACGCTTCACTTCCTTTATGGAAATAACAACAACAACAAAAAGGCGCTTTGTTGTTTTTTTTTTCTTCCGTTTATATCGGATACATCCGTATCTCAAATCAATGAAATCTCACTTTCGCTCGCTCGCCAACGACGTCGCTCGATTTTTCTCGACCGAAGCTTATAAAAATAATCCTCGGCGCGCGCGCGCGCGCGAGCGTTGGGCGGGTCGTTATTAGTCGTTATTATGCGGCGCGCAAGAACGAAAGTTCGTAGCGCGCCCACAATTGCGACTAACGGGCTCTTCGGGACGGAATGCCTCCTTTGACAAAATCGCAGTGAAATCCGCGAGAGAGGCCCGGCGCGGAGCCACGGCTTTTCGTTACATGAATTAATTCACCCGAGGAAAAAGCATTTCACCTCGATAGCGCACTTCGCTCTGCCTGCTGTTGTTGTGTGTGCGTGTGTTTTTTTTTCTTCTCTTTTTCTTCTGCTCGCCGAAGCGGCGCGGCAAAGTGTTACATCATTATCCGGTATTCCAGATGACCCAATTACGATCACAGTTACTCGGCGCCTCCTCGCTCAAGTTTGAAAAATCGAACGTCGCGCGTTAACAAAGCGCGCGCGGCGTCGCCTCTTCCGCTTGCGAAATCAAAGAGCCGGCTTCGCTGTCCGTCCTACGTATAGGAAATTCAGCCTGCCGTGTGTGGCTGTCGATCGTCGATTGGTGCACTCCCGAGCGCAACAAATCGCGTCGGGCGCGTCAGGCCGAGTGGATGTGTCGCGAGAGAGCGTCACACGGCGAGCGCAACGGATTCCAATCTGTTCATCGGCGATTCCGCGCGCAGCGGCTCATTTGGCGCGGAGTGAAAAGCCCATCAGCTGCTGCTGTTGCCGCTGCCGTCGCCGCGTGCGTGCGTATACCGTTCGCCGCTGGCCCACATAACACACCTCGCTCGACTTTCCAACGTGTACACACGTGCATACCTGCGCGGCCTTTTCGGGGTCGACCTCTCTCGCTCTTTCTCCCTCTCTCTCTCTCTGGGTCAAGGATCGTCGGCAATTTTAACAAACCCACTGAGCGAGACGGTTTCGGTGACACTTTGCACTGGCCGCGGTCTGCCCACCTCACGCGCGACACGCGACTAGTTTGTTCGGCAAAACCATTAGCTTGTACTTGCCTCGCCATCTCCTTGCAACCTGTAACCCAAAGCGCTGGTTGTTGACATCGTTTTGCATTATTTATGTCGATGACTCACCGCTCTTTTTTTGTCTTTATTTATGATTTTCAATTATGGCAATAGAAATCGCGGGATAGTCAACAAGGCGTACGTGAGAGGATACAAGGCTTCCCTGAAAGAGAAAAAAAATTACTCTTGCTTTTTTTTTTCTTGTTTTTTTTAACTAATTTTTCGTCATCTCGTCGGCTTAAATATTTCAAATTCGAAAAGTCACGTGAATTAGCGACTTTCTCGTCTAGGATTTGAAGAAACCAGAACAAACAAAAGTAATGAGATACAGGTTGTAAAGAAACGAGAGATTTCTGCGAAAATTATTGCTATTTTATTCTGTGTTTTTATTGACTTGCATTTAATGACAGAGGAAATATCGAATAACTATATACTTTGTCAAAAATGTATCAACATGCATAAATTGTGACGACGCATCTAGTAAACATTAAACGCGAAAGCTATTTAAATTGGTGTCGATAGCCATTGAAATTCAATGACAAAATTTGAAAATGTGCCACTTTTGTTTGCTCGTGGCGTAATACATTGTAATAACCTTCGAATGCCCATCAAAGGCTCCACTAAATTTATCAATCGGAATGAATACTACGAGATTTCCTCGCTGTACTTTGAGAAGCGCGCCGCCGTCGTTCTCTGCACGAACCCACAAACGCGTCAGCACTTAAAATTCCAGCCGCAAACCAAAACCAACACACGCCCAACGAACAAAGAGAGCAAAAGAGAGAGAGAGAGAGAGAGAGAGAGAGAGAGAAAGAGAGAGAGAGATATCGACAGCGGAAAAAAAATGGCACGCGTTTCTCATCAACACACGGCGGAAACGACAGCGGCTTCGCATATCGCGCTCGCGATTAAAATCTCGCGGATTTTTCGTTCGCTTTGACGCACCATGCCATTGTCGATGCGTATAGGAAACGAAGGAAAATGACATACGACCGCGGCGGCGCGCTCCCAGAATTGTCTCGCCATCCGCTTTTGCTTTCACCGAACCCGCGGCGCGGGTTAATAATCGGCTTCGGCGCGTATCGCCGGGATGCATCTCGCGAGTTGTCGCGGCGCCTCTTCCTCGGCCGCGTCCATGCGGGGAGACGCCGAGCGCGTTACGCGCCCTCGAAGGGAAAGTCCGCATTGTCTCGCGCGCCGGGGCCGGGCGGCCGTTTACGTGGCTCCGGGCCGCGTTCGTCGGACGGAGGTCGCGAACTGCGAAAATCTACGGAGCTTATCGCGGATCAAGGTCGCCACGCGATGAGGCATCCTCGCGCATCGGCAGGATGATTTCACCGAGTGAAAAGCGTCGAAATTTATGCGCGCGGCGGCGGCGGCGGCGGCGGCGGCGGCGGTCGACGTCCATATCGTCGTGAAATTTTTAGAAAACGTGGGTGCCCCCAGCGTGAAAATTTATTAACGCTGCTCGCAACGCGCTCGCCGACCGCCAAGATCGTGCGAAGCGTGACTGGCGGTCTGCGAGGAGAGAATCTAATAGCCAATGCGAATCTACATTCACGGCCCCGAAGAAGAATTCGTGTCAGCGACAATGACCACTGTCATTATATTTACCGTTGTGCAGCCGCGCGCGGACAGCGCGATATTAGCCCGTAAGATACAGAGACGCAGGGGAAAAGCTGATTGGAAGTCAGTGCGCGAGCGAGTTTGCCGAGTTATTAATTATGAATTGCGCGTTGCCTCTAATTATTCCGTTCTCTCTCCTTTCTCGGATAACTTTGTCAACCGCAATGTCATTGTCAATTGATCATTCCGCGATCGCCTGGCATTCCTTGCGTGTGACCCCTCGAATGAATATCGCGAAAAAAAAGTCTCGTATACCTAGCAGTGCAAATGTATACCATTTACTCGCAACCCGTCTGTCATTTTACGATGCTTATATTGTAGTACACGTCCAAAGTGCTTATTATTTCAATCATATGAATATATGGTAAGTTCATTTATTCAGTCACTATACCTACATTTATTATAGCAACTTTTACGGTAATACTTGTGAATAGATAGTTGAATTTTACCATAGCTGTCTATTGCGATAAAAACAATTTATTAAATTGGACGCCGATAAATATAGGACTTATAAAATAAAGCTTGTTTTTAAAATTAACAGATTTATTTCAGGACAAGTTTTTTTACATGAACATTTTCTAACAATAATAACAACACCAAAAGGATTAAACTATCACACGACTGCTATTGTCGAGTACATCGCTCGCTCATAGTAATTTAGAATGAAATGAATTCGGCGAGGTACGTATCATTCCCTACTTTGCCTACTTATGCTAAATAGCTTTCTCTCTTGATCATCAGAGCGGCGCACCGTTGCCGCCAACGATTTCAAATTATAAATTGATGATTAATTTTCTCACATAACAGTAGATTATTAATATCAACTTAGCCTTGGTTGTCAATTCTCACGTGCTACGGACTTATACCAATACATTCCCGCGGGTCAGGTACGTAATATACTATTTTACCCAGCGAGGCTAAAATTAATATATGTAAGCCATTTAATTTAGGATTAACCAATTTACATGTTAACTAAATTAGAATATTTCAGGTAACATGACGTATGATAATCGATGATAAAGCGCAAAATCCTCTTTTCAGCAGTAAGTACACGTTATCGTTGTTAAATAAAATTTTTGGATTATTTTTCTTGAAGGACCTAAGATTAGTAAATTATTATTAAAAATAAAAATGGATCTCAATCTACGGTTTTTTTGAGCCGACATAGACTTTGATATCTTAATGTAAGTATTTATGACTTTATTTCAAATGTAATTGCAAAAAATATAAACATACGTTATTTTAATCTTTTATATTTGCCGTTAAATTTTTTTTACCCGTAAACGAAACGTTGAAAAGAAAAAATTAGAGCGAACACTCCAAAATCAAAATGCGTCTCACCATGAGTTAAAATATTTTTTTTTAAATTGTTGAAATAATTTTGACAACAGTATTAATTGCCCTATTTGTCCCTCATATCGGTGATCATTTCCGATTTTCGATTTATCAACGGAAAATGTATGAAAATCACGATTTTCCTCAGTATATCAACAGGCTCGTTTACTCTAATAATTATTGCTAAATTTTTGTGTTTGATAGCTCAAAATTAAGGTTTTAATTTCCCTCGACAGCCCGTCAAATCGCATTTTCTATTTGTTGCACAATTTTCAAATTAAAATTATTAATGATTTTCGTGTCGCGAGTGGCGGGAAAAGGGTGTCAGTTGTTATTTCAGTATTCCATTTCCAGAAAGGGCCGTATAGTCAATTTCCCTTACAATCGAAGGGGCTACTTTTACAGTCCTATCAGAAATTACCATAATTACCAATTTAATGGAGTAGCGATAAAATTCAAACAAACTTTTATTTATTTTGTTAATAATCCATTCATCAATTATTAAATAACTCGGAAACTAAAAGAAAATTGTTTGGAGGACAAAAGGAAATTTATATACATTTAGGTTTAGAAGACAGGTGATCGTGGGAAATACATGTTTATTTATAACACATAGGAATCTTTGGTTTTTAAACATATATTATTTTTATCTTTTAAAATTCGCACACTCACACTTGTCTTTATGGAATCTCAATTAAACTTGCGGCTCACAATTTGTTTTGTTTTTTTATAACAGAATTAGTAGTAATAATCGTTAAGTATCCTCTTGATTTCTGTTGCAAATTGAGAAGTATCAAAATATTTTTTATGTATATATTTCCACCCAAAAAATTCGTTTTAGTTATTGTTGCAACGCTTTTTGTTTCTCTCCTTATTAAAAATACCCCTGAAAATGCATGCGAGAATACAACTATTATTTGATAATTTGTTGAATTGATGTAACATGTTAATTATAGATTGATATAACGTGATCGCTACGTGTTACTATTGCAAACAATACAACTTTTTTATGATAATTTATACTTTCAGAGATACTTTTTTAGTACTTTTCTTGCCTGTTAGAGCAATTAGATTTCTAATTAGGAAAGAACATGATTACTCATTTAAGGCCGTTTTATTTGGGTTACATCTGTCACAATGACAAATCCATTGTTGTAGTACGATTTTTTGATTTGAGATTACACTTTTACGCTCATTCAAGAGAGATATCAAGTTTCTTTTTTGCGGAAGGAAGAACATTATTGAAAATAACAGATGAGCGAGTTTTTTTTAATTTTCCTGCATTTCGCATGCCAATGTTTCCAGTGACATTAATTTCTTTTATATCTTCTTCGATCATCCACATCTACAACTTGTATCAACTTTCAAGTTGTTAGTTTCTTTTTTTATCAGTAATAACATTTACACCCCATTTTTAAAATAAGCTGTTTCATATTATAGGTACACTTAGGTATATTTTTTTACATGTATAAGCTCATTATAGTATAGAAATTGCGTCCTCTTGATCGAGTAGCGCAATTCGTCTATTCTATAGTTACGATTGATAATTACAATGTAATATTTAATTACAACTCACGATTAACATATCGTTGAAACATTCAATCCCTGTTTTTAACTTAGTCTATGGAGTTCTGACTAGTATGCAATGCCATTTTCATTTTTTTAATAAATAAATTCTTGCTAAGCTTATTTATTAAAAAGTATATAATGCTACATATGCGTTCATCACTAGAGTCGATTCTTCTTGATCGAGTAGTGATTCGTTAAGTACACAATGAACGAGTTTTTATAGAATAATGAAGAATCGTGAAAAAGCTACTAAAACGATTGTAAAAATAAATTTCACGTTTTTTTCTTCAAAATGTTCGATGTTTTTGGAATTAAGCTCTATCTCTAATTTTAATAATTAGTACCTTTGAATTCATGCAGATGTACATAAAGATACATACATCTCAAGAGTGCGCTTCGTACTTGAATTTAATCTTTCAAGTGTACTCACATGCAGTTAATATTGAGTGCCTATGCGCAGATATATAGTAAATATACAAAAAATAAAATTAAGTTTTTTCTGCGTTGAAAAAAAATTGTTTTTTTCCGCCTACTATTTATGAACAGCTCTAAACAAAATACATTTAACATGTATTATGAATTATGATTTAAACCTATCTTACAGTACGATGTTTTTTTTTAATGAGTACTTTTACGGTTTTTTTTTGACAATTAATTATAGCGTTCAGTCACTATCTTTCCATGATACAACAATTTTAACAACTGTATGCCTCAATATTTACAAAAACGTAAGAATTGTTTTTTGTACTTAACAAATTTTCTTTCTCTTATAAGAATCTTTTTGTTTTGAAATTTGTATTCCATTGCATTTATGATAAAAAATATCGATGCTTCGAGATTTATCGTTAATTTTTTATCTTAAAACATTTATATCATCTAGTTATACTCTTTTTCTAATTATGTAGGAATATTTTGATAAGTCATCGACAGGGCGGATTTGACGGTATTTCTGTAGATTCGCAAGAAGTTCTATGAATTTTTAGAACACAAGATTGAAAAAACAAGAATATCAAACTTATAACTTATTCAATAATTTTCAATTTTACCAGTAAAAAAACGTTCACACATCAATTATGAAAAACGAAACAATTTTTTTCATAAATTAAAATATTAAAAAATTTAAGTAATTTCACAACAAAACAAGCAATTATATTAATATAAATATACCAGTTATTAGGATGGACTTTTATTTTGAACCTGATCTATCAATGGTCCCAGTCTTGTGAAAAACTCAGAAAATCAAAACGCTGTAGTAACTTCCTATTATACCGAAAAAATGTGATGCGTATTTACGAAAAAATACGCGTAAGGCTTTTTAGTGTGATCGTTTATGTACTTTTACTTGTTATATCACATAAATTGATTAAGTAGCGTTATTTTTTAACGGATATCTAGTTGGTGGTGTGAGCGAAGTGTAGAAACGTTGGCTTTTGTTCGCACTTTTTGTCATAAAAAACGTTTGCGTTCAGGTGAGACTAGCTTGCATCAATAAATAGGCCTGTTTCGCAAAAATTTGTGCTAAAAATACACTTTGTCCAACAACTGTTCATCCTCGTCTACTAATTCTTTGAGCGTGTGTTACAGGGTTGGTTAGCTCATCTTCATTCGTTTCGATGGGTTCATGTTTGACGCATCTCCGTTTGATTCAAATGTATTCATCATGGAACCATTCTGGCTCTTCTAGAACAAAAAAAAAAAATGTCATTGATGCCACACAAAAATTTAAATAGTCGTAATATTTATCCATTGGCAAATTTGTTTAGTTAAAGCAATCATAATAAAAAAGAAAATGTCTTACATCTCCCATAACAGCTATCGGCGTGGTACCCGTAGAAAGGGCAACTTGATGTTCAATCAGATAAAACATGTATTCATCATAGAGTAATCGAATCAGATGAAATGAGCCAAAGCTTGCGGCACTGCGTAGTGTCAAATCCCTAATAACCATCGAACTGTAGAAAGACCACTTGAGCAGGAACTGTCGTGCTGCTTTAGCAAATGTTTGTTTGCCCTCGTAAGGCTGAAGCACCTGCGTTACTACTCCTTTCAACCAAACGGCCCATTGTTCCAACGAGTTTTGTTGTTGAAGTGTTACTTTGAAATCAGCTTCAAGGCGCTGTACAACTGCATAGTCGCATTGGCAAACCCAGGATGCCTGCAAATATTTGTTTTTTAGATTTTAAATTAAAAACTTGTAGCCTTTATTGGAAAAACTAATAAACATTAAATTACCTGCTCCTGTACATTATGGAAATCAACTCGATTAAGATCAGCCAGCATTTGATTAATCTGACTGTTGTTCTGCAATACGGCTCTTGCTGCTTGCGCCAAGTGGTTAAGGGATGTGTATCGTCGCAGAGTTTGAGCAAACGCTGATACAGCAGTTAACTATATCACAGAAGAAAATTATAAATAAAAACTTTTGTCAAGTTAATTTACATAATAAAGTAATTACAGAGTTAATTTCATTACCTTTATCTGCATCATTTCTTCAGGACAGTCATTCATGGCAGACGTCAACCACGATTCCAACCCTTTAGCAAAATTCCTAATGGATTGAGTTAAAGGACCTAAACAAGTACGATATTATAGAATACGTTTACAAATTGTTAATTAGTCTTTTTGTGAAATACTAACTTGGTATAGGCCTTAAAACGTCAGGCATAAGCACTTCAACGAGATTCTGATAAAACGTATAGTCGACTCTCCTGATAAAGTCTTGAACTTCAGGGCACTTGCACAATTGATAAAGTTTAGTTCTGTTGAACGGAAAAATATTCAATTATCATAAATGAATACACTTTCAATAATTACCAATTAAAAAATGATATTTACTTTGAGAGATACTTTTCCTCCTCGCACTCATCCCCGTTATTATTATCCTGACTACGCCAGAATTCACGCCATAAACTTTCAATCGTAGCAAATTCAAAGTTCAGTACAGCGTCGAGAAAAGCTTCGCAATGCTCTCTATAGATACTCCTAAAAGTATCGATATCTTCAAGAGTACAGTCTTCGTGAAGAGACCCGTGAACGATAATTTCGGGGAATTCAGGTATCGCGCAGCTTGCTTCACCGAGATATTGGTGATACTGCGGTGACGTTGCGTTCGGTGAAACGTTCGCTGCGTTGTTGTTCATTTGTGTATTGTTAGACTCATAAACTGTTTCCGACTGTTTTTGATTGACGAACTTGACTCGTTTGTTCGTTTGTGAATTTGATGTTGGCTGCTGTCGTGACGTGCCGTCCTCGTTTAAATGTACTAGTGGAGAGCTTGGTTTAACTCGGATACCATAGTAATGGTATTTTGAGTTACCGCTATTAATAAAAATTAATTATCATTGCATATAAACATCCGAGGAGATTTTTGTAGAAATGAGATAAAGTATTTACCGAGTTCCAAGACGTCTTGTGCGTAGACCCAAAAATACAGAGCGAATGAGTTTACCAAAACTAGCTGCATTCACCGGATCCAATTTGTTATCGGAACAGTGACGGAGATAGTGATTATAGAGCGTCGAACGTGGCAAAGACACTCCATCAGCTGTCTCGTAGTTTTCCAACAGCCATTGCACCTATATATCAGTCGGATAGATCTTTTCATTTTTTCGAAATGCATCACTCTATTGAATGTATGAACACTTGTGCATTATCAAAGAAAAAACCGTGCAAAAAAACTATTGTGTCGTAAGCTGAGTAACTTAATGAGATATATTTTCTTTGTATTCTTTAATTTCAATAATTATATTATTATTTCTCGAAATTAAGATGCGATTTAATTATAAGTTGTGATAAACTAGCAGTGTTTCAAAAGTAAATTCTCAATTATCAAAAGTATTCGTGAATGGATTTTTATTTTAAAACCCTAATAAACCCTCGTGTGCAATAAAAATATCTACTACAAAAACAACGAAATCTTGTACGTTTACTTACCTGAAAGTAAATTAAAAACCAAAATAATGTCATCTCTCCATACATCAAAATCAATAAAAAGTATTGAATGACGAGTGAAGAATAATGAAAAAAAGAAGAAAAAGCAGTGCAACCCCAAGCAAATGAAAGAAAACATACGTATACATGGCATGCTGAACAATGAACACAAAGAGAGATTGAGATAGCATGTGTTAGTGCGTACAAAGCAGAACGACGAATTGGTTATGTGGCTTACGGTGGCCTGGGACACCCTAGTCGCGTGGGTCATGTTAGCCGCGGCGGTGGCCGCATCCTCGACCGTCGACTGCGTCGGCTGAGCTTGCGGCTGTGGCGCACTCGCCGAATTGCCACTTATCAAGTACGCACCGCCACCACCACTCACCACTGCTTCCTATATATCCATTTCACGTCAAAAAAAAAAGAAGCAACAACTCATCCAACGTATCCGTCACTTTATCTTTTGTATTGTTAAAAGCACCCTCGTTGATCTCGCGCGCGGCTCCCTTTTAGTAATTGCTTTTCAATTACGGATCTTCGTCATATTGAATTAGGCTTGAAATCGATGGATTGGTTGAAGCAGAAACATTGAGATTCGGTAAACCGGTGGATAACATCGTTTTAAAGTGTTATACATACAGTTAAAAGTGTTAAATAGAAAGCCATGCTCGAAAGAGCAGTGTTTTAGTACATCGTTACTTCGTGTTACATACGAAACTTAATTATTTTTCAATATTGAAAGTTATTTCTTTTCTTTGATTAGTACAGATTTTTCCGTGAGTTTACTTAATGGTGGTATATACTTACGGCACTTTCAGTTTGAGGACTTGCGCGAGCTGCTGCAGCTGATATTAATGTATGAGTTGGGTCGCCTTCAACGACGCTTTGCTGGATCAGGTAGGTCCCGTTGCCTTGTGACAACAATTGACCCGTTGTAGTTGAGCCTGTGACCTGCATCAACTAATTAATGCGAAAAGAACAAATAAAAAATATCGTATATAAAACTTCAAAAACTTACTTGTGCATAAGTGACTGGGGTGGAGGCTGAAGTGTAATATTGGTTCGAGGCGGGAGTGTACATTGTTCCCGCCTCACCCACAGCATACACTGGATATGTCCTAAAATTAAAAAAATTGACATTAAATCATTCCTTATACTAAACAGAACAAAATAACGTTTATAAATAAGACTCACATCTGTCCATTCGTCGGTATATACGTGGATCCATCTCCCTCGACATACTGTACAAAGGTAGGATGAGCGACCGACTCGGACCCCACAGCGTCGGCGTCTCCTGGTACTAGAACAAAAACACATCTCGCATTACACTACAATCTTCGTTCAACGCTCACTCGCGTTATCATCATGTAAAAGGTATTGAAATACGTACATCAATCAACAAATATTATAACACATACACATACAAAAAAAAAACACGAACGCAATTTTGGTTTACAATCGTTTGACAATCAGGTTATTCATAAACATAAAACACCATTATGCATGTTGAATGTAACCCTCACCTACAGCAGTTGTGAGGGACGCGTATGTCGAAGGCTCGTTGGTGCCTATAGTAAATTCAGTATTGTGCAGTGAGAAAAGTACGTTTTTGCAAACTCTTAACTAAAGATTGTGGTTTAAACAATATAAACTAAAATTGATTTTACAACAATAAATATAAATTACCTGTAACAGTGATGTAATGAGGCGAACCACTAACTATTGTGCCAGTAGAGGTAGATGCAGCATCAGAATCTACTAGAGTGTGCTGACCTGAATGTGTAGTATTAACAACTACTTGTGCTGTTACGTGTGCTTGTGTACTAGAAGATCCATTTGATGAATCTCCTGTAGCATCCAGAGAATCTTGCACTAGTAACTGCAAAAAGAAAAACAAGTTTGTTTAGTAACAATGCAAAAATAAGTTATCTTGACTGACTTACATTCGATTGAGATGGAAAAATATTGGCAAAGTGTGTGTTTCTAAAGCCAGTATTATACTTTGATGCCATAATAATAAAGCAACCATAGCTTATCACACTCTCAAAAGGCAGATGTTTAGTTCAGACTTATCAAGTTTACCAGACAACACTATGAGATATAGGCACTGTAACTATTGATTTTTCTTTCATATCTCACTTTTAAGCAATTAAAAACGTGAAACTAGTCCACTATCTTTTTACAAATTTGAGAATTGAACAGTTGAAATTTCATCGTTCACTAATAACACTGACTTGAAAGAGAAACAATGGCAACCAAAGGGAAGAAAAAATGGAACAATCTTAATAGAAATTCACCTGAATAGGCTGTAAGCTATTAGGACTGGATGGATCACTGGTAACAACAGTGATCAGTTGTTGAGTACAAGTGGATTGTGACTGAGCAGCGCTTGCACTGCCATTAGAATTAGAAGTAGTGACAACTACGACACTTGGCTTTTCAACCCCCACTGCTGTACTGCCCCCACCAGTATTGCCAGCCCCAGTGGATGCTGCTAGAGCGTACTGGGCTCCTGTGGTAGTCATGGCAATAACTCCCTCACCAGTTTCAGCTTCCAACGTATCACCGCCACTTCTGCCTCTCCGTTTCTGCCGGGATGCCTCTGCAATTCAAATACAGAATTTACTAATACACTTGGCTCGATACGTGCCACACTAAAATGCCAATAATCCTTCCACTTTTGCTGCTGTTACCCCTCATTTCTCTTTGTTCTATACTTGTTCATTCTGTTATCCTATGTAGATTGCTAGCACACGAATGTGTGCATACAGTAAGATGATTAGTTGTTGATTTATAAGGTAGTCAAACTGTTGTAGTATGATTACATTGTATGGTCACGTATCAACTTACAAAGTAGGTACTCTAAGCAGATTTATTGATTGCCAACATTTGTATCCACAAGCCTTTCATACACACAGTGCTCACCCTCTGAGCATTCAAAGTACAAATCTATTGACACTTTGATAGACTCCAAGATGAGACGTAAATGGTTACATTAATTGTCAATTGAAAATAACGCGTGTGCTCGTATGATTGTGTGCCATATAAGAGTAGAGAGTGTACACATAACCAAGCTCTCGATCTCTTTGTCTCCTGTAGCCAAGCTTTAGCAAATCCGCGTTCATGATAATGTGATTCGCCTAATAGCGAGCATAATCGACAGCTGTGTAGCAGAAGAGAGCGGAAAGAAGTATCGAGTATCTCCGTAGCAGAAGACGAAGCTTGCCGACATCGACGAGTTATGCTTCTGCTCGTTCTCTCGTTCTCTCGTTCTCTCGTTCTCTCGTTCTCTCGTTCTCTCTCTCTCACTCTCACTCTCTTTCTTTCTCTCGCTTTCTGCAGGTGCAGTGCGTTTGTATTGGTGTGTGGCAGGTACCGAACGGCTTAAGAATAGAGGGTTGAAAAGATAAAAGGGGGACGGATTTGTGAGGGCGGTATATATCGCAATTAGATGGTATTACCGGCCACCTGAGTGATTCATGCGAATTAATTGCAGAGCAAGAGGCGCAGACTATATACGTATATAGTTTTTTGCATCTCTGTCTCTGTCTCTGTCTCTCTCTTTCTCTCTCTTAATATGAAAGCGAGCGGCAAGGGAGAAAGTGGCACATCTGGGGTGTTGCCCAGGTGACTCCGCCAACACCTGTACACCTATCGAGAGAGGAAAGAGAGAGAGAGAGAGAGAGAGAGAGAGAGAGAGAGAGAGAGAGAGAGAGAGAGAGAGAGAGAGAGAGAGAGAGAGAGAGAGAGAGAGAGAGAGAGAGAGAGAGAGAGAGAGAGAGAGAGAGAGAGAGAGAGAGAGAGAAAGAGAGACGAGGGATGAACGAAAGGTTGTTGTGCGAGTTCCTTTTCAACTTATATGCTGGGATATATAACCAATTTGCCGAAGAATCTGATATGTCGTAACATATACGATACTAGCGCGTATTACAGGGGTGGCTTATTTTGTGCGCAAGATATTCGTTAGTGTACGATGCGATGGGGGATATGAAGTATGTAGTTTTGCAATAATGAAGTGCACGATTTAATGTATTATTGTGAAGGTTAAAAGGATCGAAGAGGAAATTTGAATATTTTTACTTTTTTGGTAGGGCTCCGGTTGTTTTTCATTCTAATAATAATACGTTTTCGAACGCGAGAACATATTCCGTTGTTGCGCAATAACTAACTTCCAAGTTGACCATTGAATATGCTGAAAGCTACCTTCATTTGCATTCGCTTTAGTATGTTAATCGCCCAACGCATTTTTCGTATGTTTTCTTCGAGAGACGCTTTGGAAAAATTCCGCGTATGATTATTAGGATCATAATTCACGTAAATCAAAACGACAAAAAAATGAATGAATGTAAAGCTACGATTAATATGGGGGAAAGGTAAGATTCATCGTAATGACGACGTCTCGAAACTGAAACGGATTCTCCAATTGGCTGCGAGCCCACCTATCTAAATTAAAAAGCACCGGTCTCACGCTCGCCCGGCGGCAACAGAAGTAGAAGTCCGCAAGTACGCCCCTCGCAAAAGAAAAGGACAATACACGCGTCAGAGCGTACGCGTCTTCGACTCACCACCCCGGTGTCTTCCGAGCCGCTGCACCCTTCGCGGCACGCAACAACCGATCGGCGAAGCGACGAGAGCGCGACTGCGGGGCCCCAGAGCCGCGGCTTTCCCGACAGTCGCGGGGGAAAACGGTCGCCCGCTGGCAAGGTGCGCGCCGAGCGGGCACACATGGTGCAACGGAACACACCTGGTTCGTCACGCTCGGTGCACCCTTCGCCTACGCGCACGGCGGTCGCGCGGCTGCCACGTGTCGCGCGTGCATTATGTGCCCACACCTTCGCGCTCTTTTCTTTCCTGCCGCGCGCGTGCGACCGTTATAAGTCCATTTTAATTAAAGCCCGCGAGTCTGCTCGAGATTCAGCTTGCTCGCCCAAGCGGAAGATTGCTCGGATTATTACATTTCGCGTGGGATCGACCGCGCGAAATATTTCGAAGCGCGTTTCTCTTTCTCGAAAGCGCGCCAAACAGGGGTCCCGTATCTGCGGAGATAATGCGACGCGCACGCTTATTACTTCTCCGCGTTAACGCTCGGGGTCGGCGAGAGGAAGCTGCAAAAAGCTCGCTCGCTGATATGGAAAACTGTACGTTTCGCAATTTAATGTTGGCGGTCGCGGCGTTATCGAAAGAAAAACGTTCGGAGATGCGCGCCAACGCAGGAATTCCACGATTTGTCGATGATCGACGAGTTGATTCTGTCACAATGTTCATATCAGAAGTGAAGGCCGTACCGTTGCAGTTGATGCAAGCTTGTTGAGGAAACTGGATATTTTCCCCGACGCTTTTACTGATTAACGTACGAACGCAAACGAGGTGATTGAACTTAAATGACTGGCGATGACAACGAAGTTTGTTTTTTGTTTTTCGTCTGTTGAGAAAACAAAGAACAGATGAGCCGATATGGATCTTTAACAATTGCACGTGCACAAAGTGAAAATCAAGTTGTCTCAGCATGCAAGCTTCCCATTCGCTGCGCAATGTTTACGTGTGAACAAAAGAAGCAGATCGAATTACAGCCGCGCGCGTAGCTCTGAACATTCTTTCCCCGGCCGACTGTCCGTACGTACACACAACAAACGCAAACTCGAGCCTATCCCCGCGTGACCATCCGAGGGGAAACGAGCGCAGGAAGCAGACGAGGAATCGGATCGCAGCGATTTCGCGAGCGAAGCCCTTTGGCAAGCTACGAGCAGCCGGCAGACGTGCACGAGACGAAAAGCAACAACTCACCTGCAGCAGCCGGTGTGCGTACGAAGAACGCAACGACGACACGACGCGCTCGTAGAGCTTGCACTCGGAGAGCTACGTTGTTGTTCCACTCGCAACGAAACGAGAGCGAAAACAAAAAACGAGAGGTGTCGACGACTCGGTGGTCAGCAGCAGCAGGTCTCGGGAAAAAAAGCTATACGTATATCGGCCCGCTGCACTCGCGCGACGTATCTCGCGACACACGTACACACTGGTATTGTCTGCTACGTCGTCTCCTTGGCTACGGCGTCTCGCGTGTTGCCACACTGCTGCTGCTGCTGTCGTATCCCGCCGCAGCCGCTCTCGGCCATCTTTCGCCGCTGCTGCTGCGAACGCGGGGTTATGTCGGCGAGCTCGCGCCGCGCGGTTATTGATTTTTTAACTCCGGCCAAGCTCGTGCGTGTGCGCTGTGTCTACGTGAACTGTGTTGCGAAAGAGTAGTGGGGGTAAATGAACGCCGCCATGCGGTAGACGTATACACAAAGAATCACATCTGATTGACCGGCTGACTTCACTCCGAAATTTGCTTATAGGTTTTCTATTTAAAGCGCGGGGATATTTGCATGTTTTTATGTGATATGCGGTTTTCATTTACTTATTATCCTTTTGCACCGATTGATGAGGATACGCGAAATCGATGAATCGATGAATTGATGATTTTGAGTGCTCGCTTGAATTTTATCGGTTTCTGATTGATTTTACTTCTAATTTTTGTTATACGGCTTGATTGTTTACTATTGATTTAAATGAGATGTATTATTTGTTTTAAAGAAAGATGAAAAGTCTAAAGGTAAATTGGTAATGGTGTTGAATATGAATAAATGTAATTTTTGAAGACATGCTTGAAGTTATCAATCTTCTATAAAGAACAAAGTAGGAATTTTGAGCAAGCTTGCTTAGAATATTAAAGGCCATTTGATGAATTACATGAAAATAAAATCATTATATTTAACAATAATGGTAAAGTCAGTCAGAAATAGTAGTTGTTTAACTTTTAAAACAATGATTTTACAAGAACTTAGAAAACATACAAAAGTAACGTACTGATAGCAAATTAAAACAGTTTAATAATTAACAAAAATGGTATTTTCCAAGCTGTGAAATGTAATTCTTTAGAAAATAATTGATAAATAAACAGTACAATTAATTTTTACGATCAATAAACGAAAAATGCTGATGTAAGGCACACTCACAACAATACGACATTAAAAAGCGAAATAAAATAATGAAAATTATCGTACCGTGATTCTCGAAATCACCATTTTCGAGGAGCGAGTAAGAATCGTCGCTGTGCAGGCGATCAACGGCGGTCGCGTCGCTCTCGGGTGTATTGGGAACGATGAAGATGTGCTCGTCGTTAAGGAACTCTTCGAACGAAGTGTCGTCTTCCTGCCAGTTGCTCATCGGCACTGCGGTGCTCTTGGTCGGAAACGCGCCGCGGACGACACGAAAGAACGATTCTTGGGTATCCAGGAGACGCACCGTTTCCACGGGGAAAAATAGTTTTTATTTCCGCGCCCCCCTGTTCGCTTGACAGTTTGATTCCAGTTTTAGATTCATTTGTTCGCCTGTTTTTGTCGACTTTCTTTTTTTCTTCGTTTTCTCGTCGACAGGTTCAATAATATTGTTCGCCAGAGATGTTTCAAGAAATCATTTTGAGAACGGTGGATGATACTTTGATCGAGCTTTTGTGAATTTTCGGTTTCTTTTAAACACGCACAATTTTTTCGATGTATATAACACCCATGTAATATTCAACTTAAAGCCGCAAATTCAAATATAATTTGCTTCAGGAAGCATATAAGTGCGCGCTCGCATGCACGCACACACACATGTTACGGAATTCGGGCGACTTTCCACTATCTGTCACTGATTTTGCGATTTAAAGTCGATCTATTTGGCCAAGGCGAAACTGACCGGACCTTGCGAAGCGTAGGATGGGAACGATGCATAATGCCATCGATGAATTACATTCGAAGTCAGGTGCGAATACATCTTGATCCCGAGTACAATTGAATATTTATAAATGTGTAAAAAACAAATGTATTCCGATGTGATCGGTATTTATTTCACCTACCCGCAAGCGCGACTGCTTTGATTTTCAACCAGCGCAATTACGTGTTCGAATCTTTTCTAAGCCATTTGGCATTGATTAATAAACGAGGGACAGTCTATACGCTGAAATAATTACTTAATTGCCATGCGAAAGCGAGACCTTTCTACAAGATTTATATACAAACGACTAGATACACTGGAGACCATTTTTAAATTATTATGATTCAGCCAACCTTCATCAAACACAATGTGTACCTGGATTCCGATATTCTGTCCGTGAGAATGATCAATCGCATTGATCCTACAGTTTTATGATACGGAAACGTGATAATCAAGCTGTCATGATGGCAAAACTCAGAAAAAGGCTACAACCGCTTTCAGTGACTTAACTCGTTTGAATTACAAGGCGCGATAGTCTTTTTCTAGACGAAATAATTGGCTACTCAAGTAACGCATCGATCTGCAATTTTTGTGCGATATTTTATGGCCCTTTTTCCTATAAACGTGAAAGAAATTTACTTTACGTTTGGTCATTATTAAATCTTTCACGAGTCGATTATATCGACAAAGTCATTTTTTCAATTGCAATTTTTGAATAATACCTGAATTATATGAGCGCTGTGCATTTCCAATCATTGCGTGTCATGGGTATGATTGGTCAATTCCGTAATTGTTTTCACAATGAAGTTATTTAATCGTGAAAACACTTACGTAGCTTTTGATTGTCATTTACTAACTTGTTCCCAGCGTCATTCATAGTTTTTTTCGAAAGTCTATGATTTTACTTTAAATTACTTTGAACTTTGGCGCCATTTGAGAAAACGGAAGCTTATATATAGACATCGCAAATTCAAATATATTTAACGATTTAACTATATAATATTAAATGATTCAGCATTTCTATTTATAGAATTTGCTAGACATTTATTGTTACCAATTGAAATGACATCTACATAAAAGAAGTAAGTATACAAACATTCGCAAGCTACTTTGACTTGCTCCGTCAAACGTCTCAAGTATAGTCAGTCTTGTGATAAGGAGAGATTCGCAGCGGCGGTGGTGAGCGGTCGCGATTGCCGTGAATGTCAATCGATATATACAAAACATTGTCATATCTCATGGATTAACTTTAAACTCGATTTTGCCAGTAGGTATTAAAAATTACATCTATGCCTTGTTGCAATTAAAATTTGCGCCAATAATTTACCAATCGTTCAATGAATACTCATTCGCGGATTGTGTAATTTAAGGTTGGTCCGAGTAAGAGTGTGAAAAGAGTGCGAGCAGCAACAGTTTGTCAACATGATGACACCCACCGACAATGAAACGGCAGAAGCTGAGCAAAAATTGACTGCCGATTCATCTGCCGTCCTCGAGGTCAGTTTAATGTTGACGATGAAACAACAGGATGAAACCGCCTCCAACTGCAGCACTTCAGTCGAGGGATCTGTGGTAAATGCTTATAACCTTCAATATGCTACTTGTTGTGTTTACATGCATTGCTCATTGATTGAGTGAAAAAGTTAAGATTGTCTACATTCCTTTATTTTTTAAAGGTTGCTTCGCCGTCGATAGAGAGTTTTTCGACTTTTCCAGATCAAGACATGTCTGAGTGCAATACTGACCTAAGAGATTTGCAGGTGAAAGTTGATAATCCGCAGAAGCACGTTGAAACTCTGGAGACTTACATCACATTTAGGATTACCACTAAGGTGATTATTAAGTTTTCCACTGCAGATCTAGAGATCAGATTATTAAATTGACACTTCTATTTATTTTTCAGTCAACAAGATCAGAGTTTGAAGAAGGAGAGTATGTTGTTCGAAGGAGATACAATGACTTTATATGGTTGAGGCAAAAACTGGTGGAAAGTTACCCTGCACATATTATTCCAGTGAGTTATTATGTTTATTATTAGAATGTCATATCCTTTCGCAGAATATTAATAGATAACATATTTACAGCCTATGCCTGGTAAACATTCTCTTCTAGCTCAACTTGATCGATACTCCAAAGAATTCATTATTGCCAGAATGAAGTTATTGCATATATTCCTAAATCGCATTGCAAATCATCCGATTCTTAGTTGTGATAAAAGTTTACAAATTTTTCTTACTGTCAAACCAACTGTAAGTGACAAAATTATAATATGTTCATAAATATTCAATTCGAATTTGATTAATCAAAATTTGATTTTATTTTTCAGGAATTTTTAGTTCATCGAAAAAATCGTAGTTCTGTAATGAACAAAGTGAGTGACTCTATACCAAGTATAACCTCCAGTGTAAATTTAAAACAACGACATTTAGAATTCGAGCAAGCCCGAGATTATTGTACATCTTTAAGTGAAAAATTGATTACTGTAGATAAAATAAGTCGACGTATACAAAAAGAAAGACAAGGTAATCAATGCCTTTCTCATTAATAACTAAAAATTAGATTATCTTTAATGCAGACTTATTTTTTTACTAGATTACTTAATGGAATTGAATCAATTTCATCCAATTTTCACACAATGGGCATCAACAGAGCCAGAATTAGAGACAATTTTGCAAGCCATTGCAAGTGCCATTGAAGGAAATACCTCAGCTCATCAAAAGCTGTTAGACTCAACTGTAAATGATGAAAGAGAATACGTCGCCTACGTTGATGCTGTGAAAGATGCATTAAATCGACGAGATGCCATTCAGATGGATTATGAATTGACAGCCGAAGACCTGAATAAAAGGAGAGCTGAAAGAGAGCAAGTAAGCATAGTTGGCTATAATTGATAAACAACTTTTGGTTTGTAGTTGATAACAAAGTTGTAACTGCTATTTTTTTATTTTACAGATCATTGAATCTAGTAACGGACCAGCACCTCGATGGGATAATTCATTTTGGAAAAGCGAATCGAACACGGAAAAATTAGATAGATTATCTCAAACGATACCTCGTAAGTCGAAAGCTGTTGAAGTATTGCAAGACAGATTAGAATGCGCCAATGAAAATTTACGTAGTGACTTGGAACGATGGAACGCTGAAAAACGAACTGACTTAAAGAATTTACTCATTGCTATGGCTGATCAACAAATTGCTCATTATCAACAATGTACAAATGCCTGGGAAGAAGCATTGTCTATAGTAAAAACAAATGGTAACAATGAAACTGATTCCGCAAGCACGGTAGCTAAAGTACTTGTTTAAGTATTTGTTAAATGTTTTTGTTTTACGCAATACTTTGTTTAACGTTGATGTTTTACAAGTGTATGACAGCTGGTCTTTTGATTGATCATTGTTTGTAAAAAAATGTTAGAGAAGGCTAGCGGTCGTGCGAAAAAGAATTACCATGTATTATAGTAAATGAAAACTCAGAACAGTCATTATAAAAGAAAAATATTTATTTGAAAATCGTTTTTTATCTTCGTACGTACTTTTTTAACACCAGTTCAAATCAATTTATTAAAATTATTGCTATAAATGTACACATTTTATTAACAAATAAACCTTGCTGTGATAATTATATCAGCTAGATGTTATAATTTGCAAGTAATCATTTGGTAGACTGAATTTTAGATGCCAAAGGCAATTATTGTATCACACATACGTACATACTTTATTTTGTTGGGACCAAAATATTTCAGTTCTTTTGGTATAGTTATTGTACCATAAAATTATAAGACAATCCGCGATAAGATTAAAAACCCAATTACAAGTGGTACTTGCCTGATATAGCTATCATGTATTATAAGACACTGTTGATTACGTAAATTAAGCTAAAAAAAGATGAAAAAAGACATTTTTTCATTCACATTTTTATATCTAAACATAATCGCATATGATCTGAGAAATCGACTTTTTAATGAAATAAAAAGATAAAATGTACAAATCACGCTTACAAAAAAACTTTTACAACAAAAATTACTAAAAATTATATAAACTTATGTTAAATTAATAATTTATTAAATCTACTGCATCGGTTACTTAAGAACAATTAGGCAGCGGCGTTATGTAAATTTCGATGAGATTATCAAAGTCCTTCAGTCGCGTTATGGACTCATCTGAAAATAATTAATTAATTGTAACAATGAAATATTTATAACATTTGTTACTATACATTGAACGATAAATAAAAAACTTAAGTTATATGAGCTTCAGACTTTTTATGTACACATACCCGATAAAGTTAATTCGTTGCTTAGGTAACGAATCCGTCGAGCGTAAGGTTGTTGGATTTTTTCTCTCATTTGTGATGCAATGAGTTTCGTTGGATTCCATGAAACAGTTGAGCATTCAATCGACGATTTTTCCATACGTATTGGATCGGGTTTAACTTCTTTCATTTTCAATATGGCCATGATATGGTATAGATTGGTATCAACATTCCATGTGAATTTACAGCCGGCTACATACTGTTTTCTATCGTTAATGCTGAAAAATCAAGTTATATTATTATAAAAATTCATAAGATCATTAAATTATTAGAACACACCTCAACCCTTGACTGGATTGTTCACTGGTTTGAATTTTCATGATGAGTAACAGTGTTACATCGCCGCTAAGTGCACATATATCAATGATTTCTATGTCGTAATCGCTACAGTGCCAATATTTCTTTTTGAATAATTTGCACTGCCAATCAGCGATGTGGTGAGAAAAAGTTTCAATGTCAAAACTCATTTGATGAATGGCGACGAAAGGTATATTCTAAAATTTCAAGGCAATATTTAAATTCCAACTAAAACATTTAATTTAATTATTTGTTTGTTTACAAACTTACCAATTTTTCAGCTTTGGCATTACTTATCATCCCCATCTGTGCGTAATCTGCACCATGAACCTGCATAGGTAGCACGCATTGATAACTTGCGTAACAACCAGTTTCTTCATCTACAAAGAGCATTTATTTTTCAAAAATAAATAGAATTTTCAAATAGCAAATGAATTATACCTTCAACGTCAGTAATAACAGAAGTTCTTTCATCATCTAAATCTATATAACTCCGCTTGAAGTGTGATGTGCACTTAATAATAGGATACTGCAAATTGGCTTTAGGAACCACCGGTGTAACGTTATTTACGCATGGTTTGTTTGTTCGTTCTCGGCAAAGATTAGGCAGCTGATTCTGATTTAGTGGCCTTAGTACATTTTTTTCAGCTAAAAATTAGAAAATATCGCATTTATTTTCAAATATTGATTTCTCAGTTGTTTTTCGATACTTCGTGCGCAAAGTGCGTCTTTTCCGCACGCTCGGTAGAAAACGTGTGTTGAAAATTGCACTTTCCACACGTCGTATCAAAAAATATGTTCGGGAAAGAGTTTCTCGTCTTGTATATCTTTCCACCCTCGCTTCACTCGGGCGTAAACGCCACACGAGACAAGAATCTACTTTCCCGCACTTGTATCGTAATGTACTAATAAACTCACTCATTTCAAGTATTGAAATATCACTATGTACGTGATCCTGTCCATTCAATTCATCGCTTTCGCTGTGTTCCGAATCAAGCCGATGTCTACGTCCATTAGGCAGTGGTGAGGCAACCGGAGAAATCTGATAAATCGTGCATCCACGTAATTTCGATTGATCGCGAATGTGTTTAAAGGGTACAATGTTTTCAGCATCTTCAGTTTCGTCGCAAAACTCATACTTTTTATCGGCAAGTCGTCGTTTACGAAATGAGCTCAACTTTTCACACGTTTCTTGAGCATCGTCCGTAAACTCGTAAGCTTTTTCCGCTTCCAAGCTTACTTTGTGGCTGGCTCGTGTTCTTGGCTGCGGTGAGATAATGTTGGCACGTTTTCGACTGGTCGAATGTCTGAAATGCAGATAATTTATTTGTTTAAAGCTTACATGCAAACATTTAGATTGAGTAAAGATATAATCATTAATTATGAAATTTTGAGATAACAGCCACTCTTTCGACTCAAACTACGATAATTACACTCAATTTTAGCTTACAGGTAGGTTAATAAATCGTTAGATTAGTTACATTTACTTGGCGAGTTTCCATTGTAAATAGCTTAAAATTCTACGTTATATTTTTATAAAGTACATAAAAGTTTAATTCAGCGATGACTATTTACAGATAATTGAATAATTGTTTACCTGAAGGACCTAGTTATTGGTGGCGACATCAAACGTGGCGAACCAGGTGCAACGTTACCTTGGGACGCACCAGGTTGCGGTGAATTTCTGTGACTAGAATCGGAATTCCGGGTCTTGAGAATATCAGAAGGTGGCGTGAGAACGGGTGACGACCACGTGAAAGGTTTCAAATCCAATGGTATTCTCTGAGGTGTTGACCTCGGAGAACATGGTGGATGCTTAACTAATGCTATGATATCACTACTTATACTCAATTCCTGAGACATGTCTTCGCAGAAGTCTTGCAATATTTTGTCCCTAACGGATATTGCTTGTGGTTCGGACTGATGATGATTATTACACTGGCACTGTAATTCTATGCAGTGACATGATTTCTCATAATTACTAGATTTTATGTTATCACAGACGCTGTAGCTTTGATTGCTGCTGCACGAGGTATTTTGAATACTATCGTTATCGACTTTGCACTGGCTCTCGTCATTAAAATCGTATTCTGTCAGTGCGGTTTCGCACTTTGGCGATACGACGGACATACTTTCTGGAGTTAAACCTTTGTCATCTAAACTATCATAGTTCTCTGCTTTTGAGGTTCCCACTTCGTGAACGCTAATATCTAATTGTTCTATGCCAATTGCCGACGAATCTTGTCTCTCTATTGATCTCTGATTTTTTAGTTTAATGTTTTCCAAATCAACCCTCAGAACGTGTAAAAAGTTTCCTGAATTAACTACAATGTGGTTAGCATAATTCAGGCACACAACAGCACGAAATTTCGGATAAGGTGAGATCACTTCATAGGTTGTATGAACTGTGAGGCCATGTTGCAGACAATTGCAACGAACGCAAGTATCCCAGCTAGCTGCTAAATCTGACAGGAAGAAATGCAAGTATATGTGAACACTGAGAATAACGTGTTTACAATTAATAATTTACTAAACTGACCTTCTTCTTCATAAGAAGAGGCTATAACTTGGCAATCTGCACAATTACTAAGAGATGGGACTGTTGTTATAGTGACATAAGCTTTGTCAGTTTGCTGACTTTGTGACTGGAAACTAGAACTATAAATATTCAATTAAATTAAATGCTCAAGATTGAATAAGAAAAATTCAGTGACTTACCAAAGACCATGTATAACTAACTTGTTTCTTTCAGTTGGCCACTGAGCAATAACAATACTAAGCTCTTTAGATATACTATAGTTACCAAATAGGGTAACTTCAGCTACTTTTCTCGCTACTTTGGTAGGTGTGAAAGCCCACCAATGTAAAAAATATTTGAAATAACTTCCTGGAGTGCCTACATCTATTGTGTAAGTATATGATAGTAAAAATCGTCCACACTGTGTGAGCCCCATAACAATATGCCTAAAATACATTTTAAATTAACAATGTAATTTTCAAAAACACTCGAATGATGCAAATTAATTTGTAATTTTTATTACCCTGCTTGGAGAGCAGATTTGGGGAAAATTTGTAATAAAGATAAGTGACGCCATGAAGGTATTGTAGTAAACAGTCTTTCTTCTGGGGCATAGTTGTGTTGGGTTAAGGAGCCTCTTGTCTACCAGTGCAAATAAAAATTTTATCAAAATAATTCTCACTTGACAGAGTAGCTTTATTATTTATTGTTTTATAAAATATTACAGGGATACAAATGAATATTTCCTAGTAATGCCAAAGAAAACAAAATTAATTGTCATTGCAGTTCAACTGAAGAGTTATTGCAAGCTAATTGGGATAATTGACAGTATGAAACTCGAGTCTCAGAAAATAATCTCGAGTAACAAAGGTCCTTGCGAGTGTAAGGACAACGTCCTCTGATTTTTTTTATTTGGAAAATCGATGGAGCTTACCTCGCGGCTAAGAAGTTTCTGCAAAAAATTTCTTTCGACACGACGGTTGATGAGACTTATTCTCTGGCTGTCGACAACGTATTCTGTGGACTTCTCCGAGGAAATATCCGAAAAATATTCACTGGAGCAATCTGAGGTAGTGTCGGAAGACGATGCGTCCGCCATTTTTAAATAACCATCATCTCTGCACCGTGTACGACGATTTTTAACGCGAAAGTCAGTGAACCAAGGGACGACTCAGATGGTAGACTTGCTACTTGGATTTCGAATGTGTGATCAGTATCCGATCAGTATTGAGTCGTGGAAACTGTGTTTCACTACAATACATTTTTTGATTTGTAACGTTCTTTCATTAAAAACACATGTCATAAAAATGCAAATGATTGTTTACTATTTCAACTATTTTAAGTTTTACTACGTAGTACACACATATACATACAAAATATGAAAAATTGTTTATATAAATAATAAATTAATTAATTGACAAATGTTTTTAATGTTTATTAATTTTTAATTTTATTTGTAAAAATTCAATTAACATATATATAATACAATGTAGTTTCGATTTTGAGAAAAAGCAATTATATATTCTTGAATTCGTGATTACAATTAGCTCCTGAAAAGGTGACCAATTTTTCTGAAACTTTTTGAAATTTGGTATAAATGCTATCTATATAGTGGTGAATTGCAGTAGAAACTGTTGAGCTATATAATGAGTAGATTATTTATTTAATATTGTGTGTGTGTGTGTGTTCGTGTGCGCGCGCGCGCGCGCACGTGTGTGTGTGTGTGTGTGTGTGTGTGTGTGTGTGTGTGTGTGTGTGTGTGTGTTACGCGCTAGTGTATGCGTATGCGTGGGGACTGAGTGGGGATGTTGATGCCCTTTTTCTTCGTTCCACCTGATGCAAGGGCCACAAACAGCATTGAGTGAGAGTACCCACGCGACGCTACATCGCCGCTTGGCATTCTGGATCATATCCGATCACCGATTCGTTTGCCTCTTATATTTAGTTATTCTTTATTGTAATAATTTTTACGTTACCTAAAATTCAAATCAGCTGGAGTCACGCGCCATATCTCGACTGATGATATTATAGAGCATAATAAGAGGAAACGGCGAGGGTGCAATAGAAGCGTATGAGAGAACGCGCGGCACTATATCGTATGTGAGTCCCTTGAAACAATCTAAAAAGACTTGTTTCTTTTTTAATTACCTATTTGTAAAAATGGGTCGTCGAAAGAGTAAAAGAAAGCCACCCCCAAAGCGGAAAGCCATAATGCCTCTGGATACGCAGTTCAACTGTCCGTTCTGTAATCACGAGAAGTCGTGTGAGGTTAAAATGTAAGTATATATATATATATATAGACAAATACATACATATATACACATATACGTGCTATTTCGCCGATTCGAGAAATAAACTCTCCCTCCCCTACCTTTCTCATTTTCTCATCATCTCCCCACTCGGGACGCCGCGGCCTTCGAGAGCTGACAAGCATATAGGTTAGCTATTATTTTTGCTATATAGCTAATACTTTTGCACATCCACGACATATCTCGTTCAGGTAAATCTTCTTTAGATGACTTGTTAGACTGTTAATTGTTGTCACAAGGTTAACTCTTCAGGTGTGTTGAGAATTATTTAAGACGGAATCATCATTAAGTATTATTTTTATTAACATTTATTTTATTCCAGGGATAAGGCGCGGAGTACAGCCAAAATTACTTGTCGCGTTTGTCTCGAGGACTTCCAGACAACCATAAACCTACTATCCGAACCTATCGATGTATATAACGATTGGATCGATGCATGTGAAACTGCTAATTAACTTTCAACGAAGATTTGGACTTTGAAGAAAAGTGTCTTTCTTATATTTTTTTCAAATAGTTGACAATGGTTTATATATAGATGTGAACTAAAAACTAAGTGATAATTGTGCAAATCTTCCTTTGCAGTGTTCTAAATGCTTACATTTTAGAGCTGTAGTTACAGAGCACATACTTTATGAAACTATATATATCTATTCAGTATCAACAAAGAGCTTACAATTGTTTTGTGAAAACATAGGATTTGTTAACATGACTTCTTAAATTTTATTCTTGATAGTTGATAAACAAAAGTTTACATACAGCAACATGAAAATGTAAGTGTATTGTTTTTTCTTAAGGGCCAAGTTTATTATAAATAACAGAGAGTTCAAGTATTTTAAAAATGTCTTTTTTGCAAAAAGAAATGATCAAGTCCAAAGCAAACAGTATGCATGATCCATCAAGATTGTCATCAAGACTTTTGCAACACAGAGGTCCAATTCAAAAAAGAGATTATGAACCAGTTTCATGGACAGAGTACTTTAGTGAAAGAAAACCAGTTGATGTGAATGGTGATATTTTTCATGTCTACCAGCAAGGAACCGAAGGACCTTTATTAGTATTATTACATGGAGGTGGTTACAGTGCATTGACATGGTCTCAATTTACAAAATGCATAATTGGCTTAGTAACATGCCAGGTTTTGGCAATTGATATGAGAGGTCATGGTGGTACCACTACTAAAAACGATGATGACTTGTCAATCAATACTTTATCCACTGATGTTGCCAAAATATTAGAAATTGTATCAAATAATCAGCCAGTGATTCTTGTTGGTCATAGCTTGGGTGGCGCTGTTGCAGTCAGATCGGCTCCTCTCATTCCAAACATTGCTGGTGTTGTTGTGATAGATGTAGTGGAAGGAACAGCTATCGATGCTCTTAGATCAATGCAAGGTTTCTTGAGATCCCGCCCTTCATCATTTTCATCCATATCCAAAGCAATTGAGTGGTGCGTTCGCAGTGGCCAAATAAGAAATAATCATTCAGCAAAAGTTTCTGTGCCAGGACAAATAAAAAATGTAGAAACTGAAGTCTTGGGAGCTGATGATTTAGAATCAAAGTCTGAAGCTGAAGATATCAACACAAACTCAGCACCGCTTGGTGGACCAATGGGAGTTATACCAGAAGGTGAATTGAGTACCTCATCTGCACCTACCGATGTCAATACAACCAAGTACACATGGAGGATCAATCTTGCAAAGACAGAAAAATATTGGAACGAATGGTTTGAAGGTTTATCTGCAGCTTTTCTAGATATACTTGCACCAAAAATGCTTTTGCTTGCTGGTGTTGACAGATTAGATAGAGAACTCACTGTTGGCCAAATGCAAGGTAAATTCCAACTGCAAGTTTTAACTGCCTGTGGCCATGCTGTACAAGAAGATTTACCAGACAAGGTAGCAGAAGCTGTGGCTACATTTTTAGTCAGACATAAGTATGCAAAACCTACAGCAGATTTTACTTGGACAGTACCAGCTTGTTGAGAGATCACCATGAGCAGATCATAAGATGTTATGCATTTCCATTTCTTTGAGGAAAACAAATAAGCTATGAAATTTTTGAGTGTCTCACGAAAGTGATTTTTTATAATAATTTTGCAATTAAAACATGTTACACTTATAGAGTTGAACTCCACATATAAACATGAGTACTGTAATTAAGTTGTTTTTTTATTGATGAGAGAAAATCAATTCTTAAAATTAAATCATTTTCACTTGTATACATAAGTTTCAAAAAGCTGTGGATAAATAATACAAATTTGAAATAGTCTTTTTTTTATAATTGCTAAAATGGCTCCAAATAAAAGAAAGCATTTATGTAAAGCAATTAAAAATAAATTATTTTCTTTTTCAAATTCTTTATAAACCTTAACAATTTTAAATATTTAACTGAAATTTAGAAAAAAAATTGTATGTATTTTTAATACAAAAGTAGCATGAAATGTGAATTAAAATTAAAAGTATATTAAATTTGGAAACATTTTAAATAATTCTAATTAGAAAAGGAAAAAATATGGCAGTCAAGTGACAATCGTAAGATTTTCATAAGAGCAGAATGAGCGAGCTTTATATATTGGTAGTGGAGAAATATATAGAAAAGAACGGAGGTCATGCAGTGAGGGGGGCTGAGAGTGGGTGGCATTAATTACCCAAAAGTCCTCTTTCTTTCTCTTTTCTGTGTGCGTTGCAACGGCACATATACGAATACGAACGTTTCCCTTTATAATACCCTGGGCTCGCGCGTCACTTTGCTAGATGTCCCTAAACTCCGTGTGCCAAGATGGCGGTTGGTTGCGGGTAAAACAGAGACAGCGATGATACGAAAAAAGTAGCTAGACGGAGAAAGACAATATATACGGTAACAGACTACAGGACATTGGTCATTCATTGCCTTACAACAACGAAGGAGGGTAAAACAGCGTCAGCGGGGCGACGGAATTATCTCTTTCTAATCCTTTGCCCACATACACGCATACACACAACAGGAAAAGAGAGAGCGACGTTAAATTAATCCGCCGCTGACTACAAAGTTATAGTGGCGGGGGTGGACGACGCCAGGTATAGAGAGAGAGAGTGTCGTGTCCTGGCTTTTTTCTCTTGCCTGTTACAAGCGGAAGCTGCGGTCCAGCGCGCTCGGATAACCCCCAAAGCGTTCTGCTGCTCCAGAGCTATTAATTTTTATTGTCGTCTATCTCAAATGGTGCTTCGTAGTTAATATGCGAGGGTACGTCGAGTGTGTGTTTACGTTCGTGATTCCGTGCTGCTATTGTTTACGCGTTGCTCGTGAGTGCACGAGGTTCTAACGTAAAACGGAAATTGGTTCTCTTCAAGAGAGTCGTGCGTGAAAAATGTGAGGTGGCACTGGCTCAGTTTGTCTGTGATGGCAAGTTTCAACGAGCAACATGTCCGATAGTTTTAATAGTTATTTAGCAAACTTAGGAGATGTCACCATAGATCAAGTTCCCCAAAGGGACCATCCTGCAAATACAGCACTGGATGGTAAACAAATTGAGCCTGAAAGTATAATGGATGGTCATCAGACCATCAATCAACAAGAAGATAATATTGTTGATGCCAGTGATGAGCAGAGAAAAAAAATATCGTCCAACAGGAACAATGATATCAAGGAGATGAGAGCAGAAGGCTCTGCTGATGATATGGAATTGGATGAGACTATTGATTCACGTATTGGAATGAGAATGGAAAGCGAAAGGCAGCACTTAAGGGGGGTTCGCTCTGATGAGGAGTTGGAAGATGATGATGATGGCATAGATGCTGTTAATTTATTGGATTCATTGCCGCTTGAAGGTATATATTTTGGTTTGTTTATTGATGTGTGAATATAAATTTAATTCTTCATGTATAACAATCGAATGTTGTACATCTGATTTGAATATTATATGTATCTGGCTATTTTAGAAGCACATAGTTAATAGAGAAAAAATTTTATTATTGTTATCAAACATAAGCTATAAGATATTATTTTCAAATGTTTATTTAAATTAAACTGGAATGATTAAATAATCAATTATTTAAGGTTCACAAATTTTAACAACCCATTTGTTTACAGGTGCACCGATAGAAGGACAAGAGGTATCAGAAGCCTTCCTTCTTGGCAAGGAAGAGGACGAAGACGAGGTTGAAGAAAAATCTTCGACGCGATCTGACGAAGGAGACAATTTGGAGACAAGTAAACGTCTTGCTGAGCACGACGATAATTTCGATTCAACTAAGAAGAAGCAAAAGAAAGAGGATGGTTCTGAGGGTGCTAATGACGCTGAAAACGATAAGAAAATGGATAAAAAATCGGCTAACATGAGGAGAAACATTCGAGAGGTGATGGACGAGACGCAGCTTGACGAGGCAACTTTGGCTGCACAGAGACAGGAAATGGAACGTCTTAGGAGGGTCCAGGAACAACAGAGGATCATTAGAGAGGTACAACGAAGACAGACTAGCCTTTTACGAAGCAATGTTGGTGTAGAAGATGAGTCTGAGGTGGGCAGTGTTTTGATAAAACGTTTTTCAGAAAAATACTTCTTCAATTAATTTTCAAAATTTATTCATTTATACAAACAAGTTTCAGTCACACTAAATTCCATAGTGGAAACTTGTAAACGTTCAAAATGAGAATTTTTTGAGCAATAGTTTTTCTTTATTTTCTTTATGTAAATTGATTATTTGCATTAAAATTTAGAATGTTGTTCGTTTCTGTTTACATAAGAGAGAATTAAAACTGCCACTTTTTTAATTTTGGTGCAGAAATTAACAGCTGCTTATCACAGAATTATGAAGCAAAACATGCAGCTTTGGTGTAATCAATTGTTTAAATGTTCTTCTATAAAGTGAAACAAATTTACAATTACCTACACTGAACCATTTAATATTTTATTTAAAAAACGAATTCGTTGAAATAACCAATTTTTTACAAATATTCTTAGGTTCGACTTCCTAGCTCTGTACAGTTAAAAGTAAACTCAAATCTGTCTACTGGTGGACAAGTCTCAGTCACACAACAATCGAATTTAGCACCACGTCGACCAATGTCCGAAAACTGTCGCTGGCAGAAAAGTGGTCGAGGTGGTTTCCAAAGTACACAAACATCTATCTCTCGAATACCATCTCGGGGCAACACTCAACAATCTAACGCTCAACAACGCGTTCGTATGATGACACCTTCAGTCAGCATTTCACCTGTGGTAGCAAAGAAGGAACCAGTCGAGCATTTAGAATATTACACTGATTCGGATTTGTCTGATGTGGACATCGACTATGCCGACGTTGAGGATGAATCGATGTCTGATAAACAGATGATTCAAGCTCGAAAGTTATCGGCTGCTACAAAACCAGTACAAAAAGTAGGTAAAGGTAAAGATGTGGTAACGATATCAAGTTCCAGTGATAGTTCCGATGACGATTGCATTGTACTGAGCGATCCTAGCGAGACCGAAGAAACGGACAATGATGAAGATCCAGCCAATTCAGGAATGCATACCAACGATCGATATAACGTTCCAGATGCGCAAGGCAGAGTATTAGGTAACTTACTCTTATCTCTTTCTTTCAACTCTTGCAAACATTATAAAATTATTAAAATTACGTTCGCTTTTTCTATAGTCAATGTTGGTCATCCAGAAGATGAACCAGACGTGTTCCTCGCACCACAAATCGCTCGCATAATTAAAGCTCATCAAATCGGTGGCATTCGCTTTCTTTATGACAACATTGTCGAAAGTATCGAAAGATTCAAAACAAGTACAGGCTTCGGTTGTATTCTCGCTCATAGTATGGGCCTTGGAAAGACTCTGCAAGTCGCATGTTTTTGTGATATATTCTTTCGTTGCACCGATGCTAAGACTGTACTTTGCATTATGCCGATTAACACGCTACAGAATTGGCTGGCTGAATTTAATATGTGGCTGCCGTACGAGGATCCTAATAAGCCTAAAGTAGGTTTGAGTTTTCAATCTTCATTGATAATCTAAATACAACAAGCTTTCTAAAATAAAAAATGTTGTATTTGTAGGTCGAAGAGAAAGCGAACATAAAAGAAGAAAGTAACCAAAGTGACCTTGGATACATGTCGCGGCAAAGTTCCGAGCACGATTCATCGAGCCAACATCCACCGCCGTCAACCATAACACCTGAATCATTAACGTATCCACCATCTCATCCAAGTTACAACCAAACCTACAATCCTTACGTTCCAGCAGGTAACATGTACGATCCCCGCTTTGGTCAACCATACTCAGGTTATAAACCTGATCCTTATGGCATGCCTCAGTACACTTATCCACCACCAACAGCACCAACTTATCAAGATCCTCATAATCCTTATCCTGGTTATGGAGTTCCCTATCCTACTTATGGCTCTCAACCTCCATCACGTCCCGATGTACCTCCGGAAGTGAAGAAGGAAAATCCCTCTCCAACAGCAATAATGCCAGCATCAACGGAGAATCAAGTAAAATCGGAACCCAAGGAGGAGACAAAGAAGGAAACTGAAGAACTGAAGAAAGATGAGAAAGATCCCGTGACGGTCAAAACACCTTTTAGTGTGGCTGCTCCGCCTGATATGGAAATACGCCCGCGACACTTTGCTCTACATATACTCAATGACTCTCATAAGACAATGGCGGCAAGAGCTCGTGTGATTCGGGAGTGGCAAAAAGTCGGTGGTGTTTTACTTATCGGTTATGAGCTGTACAGACAGTTGTCGCTGAAAAAGCCAAATAAAGCAAAGAGAAAACGCGGACAGCCATTTAAAGATCCTACAGCCGACGATGACGATAAGAATAAACCGTTACTCGATGAGATGCATACTGCACTGGTTAATCCCGGACCTGATTTGGTTATTTGTGATGAAGGTCACAGGATCAAGAATTCCCATGCAAGTATTAGCTTGGCATTAAAACAAATGAGAACAAAGCGAAGGATAGTATTGACAGGCTATCCTCTGCAAAATAATCTTCTGGAGTACTGGTGTATGGTGGATTTTGTACGTCCAAATTATCTAGGTACGAAGAGCGAGTTTTGCAACATGTTCGAGCGCCCCATTCAGAACGGACAGTGCATCGATTCGACACCTCAGGATATAAGACTAATGCGTTATCGTGCCCATGTGCTACATTCACTTCTTGAGGGTTTCGTTCAGCGACGTTCCCATTCCGTTCTGCAAGTCTCTCTACCTCGTAAAGAAGAGTATATTCTATTAGTAAGAATGACGCCGCACCAGAGGAAGCTATACGATACTTTTATGAATCAAGTGGTTAAAACTCGAGCTGTACCGAATCCATTGAAAGCTTTCGCCGTATGTTGTAAGATTTGGAATCATCCTGACGTGTTATATCACTTTTTGAAAAAGCGACAAGCCAACGAAGAAGATGATTTAGATCTTGAGGAAACGATAGCTGACAAGGCTGCCGCTGCCGCAGGAATTAAACGTACACCAAAAGCGAGAGCACCCAAGGGGGAAAGTAAAAAGTCCAAGAAAGGCAGTCCGCAGAATAAACCTGCAGCCAGTGTACAACCGAATGCTTCAGATATGTCGATGGAAAATGGTGAGGCTGGAGAGCAACAAACTCAAGGTTTTCAGAATTTCAATGCACCACCACCACCACCACCACCGCCGCCGCCACCACCACCACCACCACCACCACCACCACCGCCACCACCACCACCACCTTCAACAGTTCAAGGCTCGGCATTCACACAACAACCGCAAAATAAGTATCAACAGTCACAGCAAGGAGGCTATCAGAATTATCAAACTGGAGAGTACAGCAATTACTACGGCAATCAAAATCAACAGTCGCAGTATTCAGCGCCTAATAATCCGAATCAACAATCTCAGTCTGCGTTCTCAGCTGCTGGGAATCAGCCAACGCAACCATCTTATCCACCTAATGGGAATCCTACTCAGCAAGCTCAATCAGCATATCCACCAGCTAACAATCAAAGTCAGCAAACGCAGCAGCCTTATCTACCGAATGTCAATCAGCCTCAGCAAAATCAACCACAGTCATACCCACTGACTAACAATCAACCTCAGCAATCATATCCACCAGCTAGCAATCAAAGTTTTCCACCTTACGCACAAAACTCGAGTTATCAACCTGGCAATCAAAATCAAACATCGGAGCAATATCAAGCACAGCAACCACAACAACAAAATTACACTGAGAGATTCCCAGGGCCTTCGCCTACAGGCCCAAGTCCATCGTCGAATACACAGAATTATCGGCCTGAACAGAATCAATCAACAGTGGCTACACCAGGAAGTACAACAAATTATCAACGCCCTAATTATCCTTACCAGAATACGGAGAATACAAGTTATCAAGGACAAACATACTCGCAGGCGGGTGGTTATCAAAATCAACAGTCAAATCAGATGACATCGTCAAATTACGGTTCTTATCCACCGACTAATCAGGGGTACGGTAGTACAAGTCAGCCAATGCAAAATTATCCTGCTGGTTCTCAACAACAGCAACAGCCACCGAGTCAAAGTACGAATTACCAGCAATCGCAACAACAGCAAAGTCAAATTGGAGCTGGATATCAGCAACAATCCTCAAACCCACCTGCTCCGAATTATCCACAGAACCAACAAACTCCTGGTCCGTACTCGCAGCCATTAAGTGCGCAAACAAATCAACAATATTCCAGTCCGACTCCGCAAAATCAATCATACGCTAACGTTGGAACACAATTATATGCGAATTCAACGATACAACCACAGAATCAACAGTATTCGGGTGCAAATACACAGCAGCCTAATCAATCGTACTCGAGCTCGACACCACAACTACATCAGCCGTACGCTAACAGCACGGCACAAAGTGGTCAGCAGCAAAGCTCTTCAACTCCTATGCCAAATCAATCTCACTCATACACTGGAACTCCAAATGTAACACCGAATCCAGTTACTTCGCCGAATATGGCATATAATTCCAATCAAGCGCAGCATCAGCAGCAGCAGCAGCAGCAACAACAGCAGCAGCAGCAGCAGCAGCAGCAGCAGCAGCAGCAGCAGCAGCAGCCAAATCAACAACAAGGTTATCAAACGAAAGGATTAAAAGGAGGACATCAAGATTCGACTTTGAGCTATCCACAGAATCAGGTACCACCTAGTACAGTGCAGCAAACTCAATTTGGTTATGGCAATCAACAACAAAAACAACAGTCTTATCAACAATCAACACAGCAACAACAATCGCAGTCGCAACAGTATCAACAACCTGTGCAGCAGCCACAACAGCAGCAGCAACGACAAACACAATATCAACCACCGCCTGTACAGCAGCAGCCGCAACAGCAGGCACAGCAGTATCAACAACCAGTGCAGCAGCAACAGACTACACAATATCAACAACCTCACGGTTACAATCAACCAGTTCCAGCTTATCAACCGACAAACCAGGTAATTAATATTTTTTTAATGTACGCGAGAAAGGAAAGATCACTTTGATTATTACTTATTTTTTAGTCACAGCAAACGCCGCAGCAGGGTTCAATCGGTTATCAACAAAATCAAGCAGGATCGACTAATTCATCTGTCCAAACGACGTACAACTATCAACCGCAATCAAACCAGCCAGTTCAGAATTATCAACAACCTTCTCAAACAATTAAAACTGAACCAGGCTACAGTTATCAACAAACTGGAAACAATTTCTCATCAACGACAAATAATCATACTCCAATGCCAGCATCCAATCAAACGCCCAATACTCAGCAGCCACCAACGCAAGGACAAAATCAATATTGGCAAGGAAATTATCAGAATCCAAACAATCCTTACTACAATCAAAATCAATCTAACCAATATCAAACAAATTATCAAGCTGAAACGAGTGGTAATTATCAAACAAATCAGCAGCTGAGCCAGTATCAAAATTATCCGCCCGATACGAAACCACCTCAACAAAATCAAACGTCTCTACAGCCTGTACCGAACAATCCTGGCACTAATTATAATAATACAACATCTGTTCAAAGTATTCCAGAACCGTCGAAAGACGAAGAAAAATGTATCATTGATCAAGATAAAAACAAACTGCCAGATAAAGATAAAGACAAAGAAGATAAATCCGACGACGAGACTGTTCTTAAAGACGATGTGGAAAAAGATAAATGTTCGCCTACTGGTTTACCTAACTCGATGAACGTGTTTAAAGATCAAGAGCCAGGAATCCCTTATGACTGGGCAACAGAATTAATGAAGGGTTACGTACCTGGTTTGATCGATGCTTCAGCTAAAATGACAATTTTCTTTTGTATCCTTGAAGAGGCAATTCGCCTTGGCGATCGTATTCTTGCATTTTCGCAATCGCTCTTTACGCTTAATCTAATCGAAGACTTTTTAGCAAGAAACGATTTCAAATACGCTGATGGTAAGACTGAATCTTGGGCGAAAAATACGAACTATTACAGACTGGATGGTAGTACTAGTGCTTTAGAGCGAGAAAAGCTCATCAACGAATTCAACGCTAATCCTAAGATTCATTTATTCCTCGTATCGACAAGAGCTGGTTCGTTGGGAATCAATCTTGTTGGAGCTAATCGAGCGATAGTATTCGACGCATCGTGGAATCCTTGCCATGACACTCAAGCGGTGTGTCGAGTTTATCGTTACGGTCAGCAGAAAAATTGTTACGTCTATCGTCTAGTAACGGACAATTGCCTTGAACGAAAAATTTACGATCGCCAGATTAGTAAACAAGGCATGTCAGATCGAGTTGTAGATCAATGTAATCCTGATGCTCACTTGTCTCTCAAAGAAGCTACAACATTAAATTGGGATTGGGAGGAAGATAGTGATCCTCAAGACTTTTCTGAAGCCAAGGACAATTTTCCTGATGAAGTGATGCATATTGTTTTGGAGAAATACTCGACTTTATTGACGAAACAACCATTCCATCATGACAGTTTACTAGTCGATAGGAAGGATAAGAAACTTAGTCAAGCGGAGAAGAGACTGGCTAGGAGAGGATATGAGCTTGAGAAAATGGCTGCTACATCGAGACCGAGTTATAATTATGTACCTGGAAATACTGCGGCTAGAGGTAATTTTTTTTATAAATCTACTTTTGTTGTATAATACATTATTTTGATTTACTACATTTTACAGTTATTTTGCGAATATTATATTAGACAATATTATGAAAATCTCAATTTATTTATCAAAGACAAAACATAACAAACTACTGTTTTTTTTATTCTCAGTGTCCGTACAATCAGGCAATTTACAAATAAGGCAAATCCGTGACGGACCAACGCCTAAGCCCGTTGCATCAGTACGACCAATGCAACAGCGTGGCGCTGAAGGACTATCACGTAATCCCGGCGGTAGCAGGTGGATTCCCGCAGAAGTCTGGCAGCGTCAAGGCATGAGCGCTCAAGAAATGACTCTACCACTTGATGTTGTTATTCCAACAAATTCACCCGATAAAGGCAGTATTGTGTTGAAGGCTGGACAAAGAGTTATGGTGTTGAAGAGTCCTAAAGGAATTTATATGCAGTTAGAATCTGGTAAAATTATTGCCATTAGGACTGCACTTAAAGTTAATCAGGGAGGAAAGAAAGATGAAGAACCGTCGAAAAAGGGTACGTTTTTAAATCATGATAGCAATATATTTTTGTAAAATAATACTGATTTTTTATTCACGACTACATTTTTTTTCATTTTTACAGGTATTACTCCGGTGCCACATAGAAACAACGTGAACAAAGGAGAAGTAAGTTTTCCTTTGCGAAACAACTCGGCGATTTCAATCATACCCAAGTCTTCAACGTCCAGTGTACCATTACAACCAAGTCGTCCAATGGCCATGAGAACGGGTGTGAACTACAGGCCTTTCGGTGAAAAAGAAGTGGTGAATCGAAGAAAATCAGTGGCAACGGCAACAGCCAAACCTTACAATAGTCAATTCAACTCAAATCAGGTTTCCATGTCGCGAATCAGTAAATCTAAGCATGACGATATAGGTGACAGTTCAAACTCATCAGATGGTCACAAAGTTCGTCCAGAACAAAGGGTGGAAGAAGTACGAATCGAAGATGTTGTAAGTGAAAAGGGATCGAATTCAGATTATAGTCCAGCTTCAAGTAGACTATCGAATTCGGATACTGATACGAATTTACCAAGACCGATGATGGAAACCAAGAGAAGTCCAAATTTCCCTTTGGACAATTCGAGATTGCACGGCATGCATCCAACTCCGTACGGAATCGAGCCGAAGATCAATATTCCACGCAAGCTCGAGATAAATAGGCAACAGGAGAGGAAGATTGACAACAGTGACGACGTAATAATAGAAGATCCATCGAAGCGATTGCATCAACCGTATCAGCCGTATCAACAGCAACCAACAAGGCCACAACCGCGTCCAGCCGCACCTCGAGCTGAAACGAGCAAATCAACTCCTGCTCCAACGGGAGCAAAACCAACAATGGAAATGGAGAGTCAACCGCTTTCTGGATATCCTTATGCGCAATACCCAAGATATTATGATTATACGGATCCAAGAACGAGGCCACTCGCTGATCCTTATGCTTCATACTATGCACAAACGGCAACGAAACCAACAGATGAGAAGCCAACGAAAAGTAGTAACAGTGGCGAGGCAGCGACTTTCTCAAGGCCGACGAAGGAAACTACGCCCGCTAAACCTTCAGATACAACGTCCACTACTAGTAATAGTAGTACGCCAATGAGGGAAGATCCTCATGGACCAACTGCATTTAGTCATCCGTCGAGCGTCAGACCGGCTTATGCACCTGGACCTTATCCACCTTATGATCCTTATGCTCAGCATTATCCTGCACCTGGTGGTAGTGCGACTTATTCTGCTGGAGGTGAGATTTATACGAGAAATATTTTTAAAAAATCTGTTAAAGGAAATTTTTCATTTCAACGATAAAATAACCTTGTCGTTGTTCATTTCACAGCAGCGGCAACGGCGGCAACTTATCCAGCTTACGGTACAGCAAGTTACAACGCTGATTACGCACGTATGTATCCAGCCTTTCCACCGCCACCACCGACAGCAGCAGATCCGTACAGAAGTTATGGCCCACCACCTCCATCTGCGGCAGGACCACCGTCGAATTACTACGCGCCTTTTCCACATCCACCGCCACCTCCTTATCCAAACTACTCATTCTTGCCACCATATCCTAACCCAGGAGTTCCAGCTGAGCCACAACCGCCGGCTTCTTAATCTTTTGGGTGGTTACGATACTTAAGTTTTTGCGATGGAGTTTGGTAAACTTTATACGTTGAGAAGAAATCGAAAATTTGCGGTTTGATTACTTGAAATGCGTCTCAATGATACTGAAGATAATATTTTTTAATATCAGTTTTTTTATGCATAAAAAATATTCATAATGAATTTAATAGGAAACGAGTTTTTGGTAGAAAAGGAATTGTAAATGAAAGAATGCTGCTTCTTGTCAGCCATCAAATTTTCTATTTGTTAAAATGGATTAATTTTAAAGATAAAGATTTTACCAAACTCCTAATCGTACCGACTGATTTGTAAGATCATCATTCATTCTCCGACAGAATTGAGATTTTCTTTTTTATCAAGTAATCAGTGGTTAATAAACTTGATAATGCACAAATTATCTCGAAAGTCGAAGACCGAATGATACCAAGCTGTAAGAAAAAAAAAAGCTTCAGTATAGGAATCGGCATAGAAGGGCAGCCGCTATCGGCTTAGTTAATTATAATTAAGTGTCAGTTTCTTTTTATATGTATACTCTTAGATAGTGCGATTAAAAGTTGTACATTATGATGCGAGCGAACACACAAGCAAGTATAAGTAAATATAGGTAGATTATATTATAGGCTTTATATCAGAGTTGACGAATTTCTTACTTCACAAAGAACATTGAGTGCAATTAGTTGACAAACAAGTAACATTTTTCGTCGTTAATATTATAAGTGTGAGGCAATACAAATGCCTCGCCAGAGGTCGAGTCACTCGCCGACTTTTAATTCTCATATTTCGTTTTTTCAATATATTCTTTTTTCTGTTTGAGCATTGATGGTAATCAAAGCCTAAGAGAATGAAACTGACCGTTTATATATACATATATTAGAAATCTAATATATACTCAAAAGTATATAAACAACTTGTCCAAGTAGCTGTAACTGTTACGTGTTACTCGTCGTAATGTTGTCGCAGACATTTTTTACAAGCATATTATATACGTTTCTATTCGTGAACGTAAATAGTAAAAAACTTACGGGAATAAAAAAACAGTATTCGTTATAGCCAGCCAGTAACAAAAGTGCTTTGAATTGACAAACTTACTGTAATAAAAAGTATATAAAAAAGTAGACACGTCGTCGCTTGTTTAGAGACAAAATTCGCGCTGTACGAGAATGGAAAACTCGAGGATTATTGAAGTGGCGGCCTAAAAATCGTCATCACTCGCGTTTTTGAATACTGTGATAATTTTTGTTTTTTGTCTCGCAACTTGCGATCGATCACGACTCTTTGTTGAACTGTCCTCTCTTTTCTATGTTCTCTTTTCTTTATTGAAACACAATTCACGACCTGTTACTAACGTAAGGCAGCTGTAGGTGCATGATTTTTCCTATATTATACATGTATGTGTGTGTGTGTGTGTGTGATGAGATGGTGAAAATTGATAGTGTTGTAAGAAAAATACGTGGAGATTCAGAGTTTGTTAATTTCTTCTCTGTTATCTTTATAAGAATGTGTTATGGAGTGAAAGATTTTTATTGGCACAGTGGTCGTTAGGTTGGGTTTTATAGTATTTCTTTTTGCAAAGATTTCTTTTGTTATACGACGTTGTTTAAAGATTGCATATTTTATTTCATAAGAAATAAAGAAGCGTATTTATTCGGGTACGAATAAGATTTTGTAAAATTTTCTTATTTGATGGAAACTCAATTGAAAAAACAATCTTCTTTTGCGAATTTTTATCGAGAGACGAGTAATGATAATTAGGTAAATTTTATCAATGTTAAATGATTATTAGATGAGTATGTGAAAAATACAATTTACTCTAATGCATTTATCACATGGACTTTTCAGTGGAAAACACAGGTAGCTTTGAATGAAAATCGTGCTAAAAGAAACGTGGTGACTCGGCCCATCCTGGCTTATTAATTTTTATTTGAATTGAGAACTATACACAGTAACAATGTAACAAAAATATTCAACGTTTTACATTTAAAATGTACATATATATAGAAATTATCTTGTACTAAAATTCTAATTTTTTTGTGAACAATTAGCCTGTTAAAAAATATGTTAAAAATTGAATTGTCTTCTAATGCGTGGTATTTGTCCTTTTGAATGCGTCATAGATTACTTAGATAATATTTAGTTCAATGATTTTTTTGGAAAAAAAATTAACCGCCGAAATTGGCGTAAAAGGTAAAAAGAGAAAGCGCGATACTTGCAATGATTGTACAGACATCAGTATCCTGAATAATTAGGCTATACAAAATAAACGTACAGTAAGAGTAAGTAAAAAGAATTTTAGTAATAATAAGTATAATTGAATGATAGTATATAACGTTTATTGAATTACATGAGTAAATGTGTATAGTCCGACAACAACAACAAAATCAGAAAAGATAAAACAATTTTTACTCTATCGACGAATGAAGCGGTCTCTTTTCCTTTTTCATAGATTATTTGCCATTTGCGTATTTTGTAAATAGCCATTATTTACATTTCATACTTATTTATTATTGACTCTGCGTCGTATGCGATGTCGAAAAACGACTGCGACGATGTTAACACAATTATCGCTTTTCTCGATGTTGGAGTATCTTATGTAAAATAAATTGTTTATACCATATGCCTCACCTCTATTTTTTGTACGTACCTTTTGCTAATATAGAACTATTTTTCTTCTATTATAAAAATTTTCGAGGTTCATATTGAATTACCATAACTGAATCAGTGAACACGCATACCTGTTAAATTACAACTTCGATTTCGGACAATTTTTACATTGAAAAAAAAACAAAGTAAAGCTCTTTATAAAGTGCGGCGTTGTCTATAAGATGGGTTTCGATAGACAATGACAAGCATACAAGAAAAATAACGTTGAATGTTAATGAAACGAATTAAATATTACTATTTTTACATTTAACTTTCATAGATAGGTCATTGAACAACTAGAGAAAAACAAAATTTATTGCCGTTTCATACACATATGCGTGACGACGTTGTAAGCTTTTTCCGGAAAAAAATCTCTGTATAAGATAATAATTTTTTTGGTGGTCTTTATTATGGTAAGCGCTTTCTTCTTATGTTTCATATTGCCCTTACGTTAGGTGTGATCTAAGACCTGAGATGGACAAGTTGTACAAGGGACATTTACAAAGCTTACAATTGCGTTAGCTCTCGAAGTATCGTGTACTCAATATATTTTATTCAATTGTTAAAACCAACTGTTCAATGGCTAAGGTTCGTTATAATGAACTGTGAATAAATTTTCCATTGCGTTAAGCTTCAATAAAGAAGAAAATAAATGAAAATATACATTGTTTGATCTTCAGCAATTATTCGTTATAAATAGCTGACCTTTAACAGATTAGTTAATTGTTTTTTTTCGAAATTGCTGAAAATTCTATTATTGCTACACAATTCCTATTTTAAATTATACTTTAAAACTTTTTATCGCTAGTGTCTTCCGATCGAAGTGCTATAGCATTTACTTGTGCATCAGTTTAATTTTAGCTTTTGAAATTGTCAGACGAGCCGATTTGAAATATAGAAAAATAAAGCTTTGTATGCTTCTCATGTTCATTATTTTCATTATTAGTTACTGTAATTATATTAATAGTAAGTTTTGCTTTGCGTATCTATCGACAACTTCTCTGTTTCATTGAGCATTGTCGATTTTCTATTTACATGATTTCAACTACCATTACTGATTCGTACGTGATCGATTGACAAATATTTTATATTTTAGGCGAAGCTTTATATAATTTTTGTAATGAGGCCGAGTGTGCAAAACGCTGCAATTGAGGACATTGCATATTGTACAAGCTGGACCACAGATTCATTAGAGACTGCTCGTGCTAACAATTATCAGCAATCAAAGCGCGAGATCGGTTGCAAATTGTAATACCAATAAATTCAATAAATTAATTTTTTTCCTCGTAATATTTTATTTCAACGTGACTTTCTTAAAATCTACTTGTTTAACAACGTGTAATATTTGGATATATATAGATAGGCTCATTCCATAAATGAATTCGAACGATAAACGAAATCAATAGCATCGATTTTCATTCAAACTCTGAAATTTTTCATCAATTTTCTTGAATTTAAATACACATTTTTACAGACCTACTGACGCCTTTTGAAAATATAAATCATTATTTCAGAAAACAAACATTTAAATTTAAAGTAGTAATTTAAAATCAAAATGAAAGTATCAAACGACAAAGAAACGATTTTAATCGTGTTATATGTAAGAAATAGATTTGACCAACACGTGAGAGGTGTATGAATAGTTTCTACTTATTTACTACATCTTAAACATTAAAACTCAATTACGTCTTGGAAAAACTATAAAATACTGTCTCTTCAGCATTTACATAGTTGTGTATGATGAGTTAGTCTTTGAAAAAAAATTGTCAATTTAGAAAAAATACGGGTAATTTTTTCAATGTTATTCAGTATAGTTGGCTTAATTTCTATTAGTCTCTAATAATTAACTGATGTAATTAATAAAATAGCAATAAATATTTTTTTGCAAATGCTTCTTTAAAATAATGCTATATTATGTCATAAATCGACTGATTAGAGGTTTACATAGCTGAGAAAAAGAAATATTTGACGTACATAGTACGTTCGTTTAATTATTATTGTTTTCTTGAGACGCAATTAAGAATATCAATATTTTTCGAAAATATTCTCTTTTATCTTCTATTAATTATTTGAATGTGGCTTTTATGGAAATTAAAGTTTATTATGAAATGAAATTCTATGTGGTCTGATAATTATAATAATTGATAAAATTGCACATGGCGAAGACAAAATTGAAAATCATTGAATTGTTTTTTATTGGTATAACTTTTATCTCGTTACTTTCTACGTCTATTGGCATTTAAAATTTAAGCGGCAAGGCGCCTGCGCATAATAGCCATCACGTGACTTTAAAATGCATAAAATGTAAACATACGCAATAACGTATAACCACAAATTTATTGTGTGCATATCTCGTGTAAGCCAATCGTCGGATATTTTGTCATTCCTTCTCCTTTTTCTGTGCGCGACAAATAGTATTAGGCATTTCGTATAATTACAACTCAAGTGATTTATTCTTAAATATGCAACAACAAAATCATAGGATTTTTTACAACAATGTATCACTCCTAGTGAATGATATGTTGAAAGACAAATGAAAAGGAAACTTACTGACAATTAAAACTCGTGCAGCACGAGTCGTCTCTTTGTAAGATGGCTGATATTTCGACGAGTGCTTTGAGCAAGAAGAAAAAGGTGTCTTTGCCGGTTGGTTGGTTGGAACGTTTCACAAAAAAACATCCTGATAAGCCATATTATTTCAATGTAAACACTGGCGAGTCCAGATGGACTCCACCAGTGAATGACACTGATAAGGTTACATAAATACACTTTTCGCTTTCATTTAGCTTGTTTAGTCTACAACGATTTTTGATTTTCCTTTTATTTCTAGACCATGGAGAAGCAAAGAGGTAGAAAGAGGAAAAACAGGGATGACGAGGAGAAGGAGACAATAGATCCACCTGCTGAACCAAAAAATAAAGACACTCCAGCTATGCAACAGTACAGAGAAAAAATGGCTCAAAGAAAAGCAGCTCTGGAAGCCAAAAAGAATACTTCGAAGTCAAAATCAAATCTTAACAAAATGGTTACTCCTCAAAAGATGAATGGTAATGGTAATATTTCAAAACCCAGTGTTCAAACAAGATTGAGACGAAGTTCAGTAGTGCTACTTAAGGATAATGATTCAACCTCTAGTGATGCTAGTATTGTTTCAAATGCCAGTATGGGATCCAAAATCAAACAGCTGGTGAAAATAGCTGAACCTGTATCAAAAACTCTGAGTATTTCAAACAAAGAAATCTCCAACTCTCCTCAGTCAATTCGTAACTTATCAAAGATACCTAAAGTTCAGATTACCAGAGCAAAATTACCAACTTCTTCTGACAGTTTATCAGATTATGGTACTATGTCTGATAATTGCCCAAACAATGTGAGTGTAAGCACTGGTAAATCTAAGTTTGGTACACCAAAGAGACTTAATAATAATTTGGCCAATGAGAGACTAACAAAATTGAGAAAAAGTTTAAGCACGGAAGAAAAAAAACCAGCACTTAATAAACGTGCACGTCGAACAATAGCAACAGACTGTAATTACAATGACTCTGAGATGATTGATCAAAGTAAGTTATTGGGTTCACCATTATTTATTCGTTCAAAATCTCAGAGCAGCAGGTTAAATGATTTAGAACGGCGAGTACAAAAAAACTCTTTTGTAGAAATGAATCAAATTAAGCAAGTTAAATCTGTCGAAGAAGAAGTGGCTATTGACGATAAGAAGCTTTTAGAGAAATGTGAAGTCGCTGATCTTTTTTGTGAACAAATGGATTGGGAACCAATTGAAGATGAGAAGATCACATTTGAAGTAAATTTACTTCTTAAATATTTGATTAATATATTATGCTACAAATTGATTTATTCATATAATTTTAGGTGTATTCAGTTCGGCATCAACTGTGTGAAAAACCAGCCAAAGCATTAAGTGAATTATCATGCCATATAATAAATTCAGGACATATTCCCAAGAAAACAAATGCTCTCTACATCATCATTGATACAAATGTTTTTTTGTCTAACTTACCTTTTGTAGAGGAAGTCCGAGATTCTCAGTCTGAAAAGTTTGGGCGACCATTTATTGTAATACCTTGGACTGTTTTACAGGTATTTTAAATACAATTGATAAGAATGAGATTATTCAATTTTGAATTAATTCATTTTATACATTTTTTAGGAACTGGATTATATTAAAGACAATAAAGACAATTCTAGATCTCATGCTTTGAAGCTCAATGCCAGAAAAGCTGTTGACTTTTTGAATAAACATTTCAGTGCAAAGCATCCTCGTTTTCTAGGACAGACGCCCACAGATGTTGAAAAGAATAAACAATTGTTTAGTGTTGAATGCCCTGATGATGAAATTTTGCAAACGTGTTTACAAGTAAAAGATTCTACAAGAACGGCAGTAAGCAATTTTATTAAAGTAATAGCAAACTTAAATTCTGCTAAATACATTTCATTAATTGTATTTCTTTAATTAGGTGCTACTCTCATATGATAAAAATTTATGTACAAAAGCAATGATTCATGATATCATTACATTAGGACGAGACGAACCACTTGAAAAAATATTTTTTTTAAAAGCAGCGGAAACAAAAGACTTTCTATCAAATAGTTTGCATACGCACATTGAAGAGAAAGCGGAAGATGTTACGATAGCGCAGAAAGAGATAATGGAGACTGATGATATTATAGAAGAAGCAAAAGCAATTATAAAGTCTGTGTTGTCTGAAGTAAGTTTGTCTTTATTTTATTTCAAGAAAGTCTGTATTAAGATGTAAATTATAATTTGTAACATAATAATACTATTAAGACAATAATATGATTATAGGTTGTATCTAAAGAAATGGAAACTCTGTTTGGTAACCGATGGGAAATGCACGTAATCATCCGACCACCGTGGTCTGTAGCCACAGTTCTGAAATGTGCTTTGAAACATTGGATGGGAGCTGTGAGTTTTTCATTTAAAACTAGGAAAATAGAGACGATGCTTCATGATCTTCTGGAGCAAATAAACAATGTACCAGAAGGGGGACGAAAATTGAATGATGCTAAACAGTTTTTGGAAAAATGTAATGATATAGTCCAAGGATTGGATTCGAGCAAGTATGATCAATTCAAAATTGAAGCCTTGGACAAATTAGAGGTAAGCACTTGAGTCTACTTCTTTCAAAAGCTTATTTTTTCGGGAAAATTTCAATGCTTGCTTATATTTTAGAAGTTAAATCAAAGATGTACAAATATCATCAATGAACTAAACGGCGAAAGGTTAAAGTTGTCTGTAGGACTAGAACCAAATGTCAATGAAGAGGAAAGGAGAGCTTTTATTGCTTTCCAAATCTTAGAAGATATCTACAATTATTCAAGAGATATTTGGTAAGCTATTATATTGCAAAGTACTCGTTTTCTATATATTTTTTGTATTGATTTACTGATATTTGGTTTGTTTGGTAGTGGTATAGCATCAGATACACTTGGGTTGCAGTGTTCAATTCAATACAACAAATTTAATTCAGTCCTTACACCAAAGATTGCGATTGAGCATGAGAAAGATGTCGGTGTTAATGTTAACAGACTGTGCCAAGCTCTGGAAGTGTGAGTATTTGAAATTTATCAAAACTTTCATTTGTTATTGTCCAATTTAAAAACGATTGAATTTTTATAGATCATTGGCAAGATTGAACGAAGATATTCAGCCAAACGATCAAATTATTTATGCACTGTATGAGACAATCATGCATTTTTCTTCAGATGTGAATTTCAAGGAATTACCACAGCTTACTCCTCTCGATTTGTTCTGCTGTTTGAAACATCGTAAACCACAAATCGAAAAAGGCATCGACCAATTACAAGAACTTTGCGTTCATTTTGCTCGCATGGCAAGTCATCAGTGTCTATCGTAATTAGCTCAAAAAGAAAAAATAATTAACAAATAACAAAAAAATTGTTTTTCTCGTGTATATTTTCGAAAAAGAAAACGATAATTACAATCCATCAATTAAGGTATAGTTTTGGGAATCCTTCCGGAGGTTGTTGCAACCAGTTATCCTTTGAGTAGTGTACGTGTTGCGTTTCAATCACGTGAAAAGTATATGCGTGTCTTGATTTGTCGCTTTTGTTTGGATTAGAAAAGTGGACGACTTGACCGTGTAACAATATGCAAGAACCTCGTCGTACTTCAACAGGTCTGAATGTACTAAGTTGATAGTAAGCCTCAGGCTTGTCGTAAACTAAAAGTTTCTTAGCATGAGGATCCTTGTTGCGAAGGTAACGTCTGTGGACTCCAGATTTGTGTGAACCAGCAGCGATCCAGAGACAACCATTTTCGCGTGTCGCATCGTCCAATGCTATCCAGAAACCTGTGAGTTTCATTGGATCTGTATACAGATAGCTGGCATCTTGGTGAACCTTAACTGCGGATGAAATTAACGTTATTATTTTTTTCATTGTGGATTGTACATTTAAATAAAATCGACTAATTATTTTTTCTTGTTTTTGTATTGAGCTTCTTTAAGTTATTAAATCCTATAAATTAAGCGTAAGTTCGACGTTTCTTTCAAATAATTATGAATTAATTCAATAATTTATTTGTTTATTTTTTATCTAATGCGATAGGTAAATTTAATATAAATTGTATTTTTGTTTTTTGAATATATAAAATAAAAAAAATATTAACTAGTGTTTTTTTACGTTATTTCTTAAAGAATTATTGAATCAATATTATAATAAAGAGGTTAGAAGAAGCTTGTAATTATTGCGACACATCATAATCGTAAAAGAATAATTTTTTGTACTAATATAATTCTACACGAAATAAAAGAAACAAATAACAGTTTATTAACTATGAGAGGAAATGAAAAGTTTTTGTTGTACCTTCCGATCCGATTCCTGAGTTTTTGTAGATATACATGGATTGGCAAACAGCCGGCTCGATCAGTTCCAGCTGGAATGCGATCTCTTTGACTTTTTCACTGAAGGTGTACTTTTTGAAAACTGGATGCTGCCAGTGCAACGCGTGTCCTACCTGTGAATTGAATTTTATTTTTTCTTATGAATTGTTCTCGATTTCTTATTTGGCGATTAAAAACTATACAATGACCTTGTTCAGAGATACACTGGGATGGACTTTCAATTTGCCATTGGATTCCAAAGCCTCCGATTCGAAAAAGTAGCTGATTTTGTTGGCACTGTCGAGGAAATACTGATCTTTGCTCTACAAAATAAGCAAATGTACATTTAGCATAGGAATTCCCAGAAAGCCAATATTTTTACCCACTTCAGAAAGGTGAAAGTTTTGTAATTTGACAAGGATTTTTTATATCTATATATCTGGAATGATTCAACTGATTTTGATGGGGATATAAGCTCATTTAATAGTGTATGCTAGTACGTAAGTCCTGTTTCGTTATCGGCAAAGTAATAAAATTGAAGTCGGTGCTGTTTGAAAAAATTGCTTGATGTAATATTTAATCTGTACCTGCTGTTGATCGATGGTATTGAAAATCTTTCTCTTCTTCTCAGGTGGTAAATTTGTGGTAAACTCTTCACCGGCAGACTTCAGCTCATCCACCTCCTCGGGCTTGAAGAAGTCTTCGATCACAACGAAACCATCCTTCTCAAACTGCAAGGAGAAAAACCAGCCACGCGTACATTTTGTAATTCAAAAGTTGGCCCACGGTCCCGGCCTTTTTTATAATGGGGTACTCCCGTAAGGCGGACCGAAAGTGCAATTGGTAAAGATCCGCGGCGATAAATCGCACGGCAGCGCGACACTTTCGCGTGGCCAAATAAAATTAATGACACCTAAATTGTCCTTCCGCTCGTGCTTCCAAGTCCGCGTGAGAGGGAATTTTGCCTTGGAATTCGCTGTACATCTTGGCGCGCACGCGAGCTCCGACGAAAATATGCAGGTGAGGCGCTTTTGGGGCGGAGGAGGGAGGGGCGGTTATTGCTGCCGCGCTGTTTCGCCGGCTGGGTAATGCGTGCCCGTATATTCACCGCGAGTACAAATGGGATCGTACAATTTTGACGATAGTCGGGCGCACGAAAATTCGTTGTCCCGCGGATCATCCCCGACGACGCGGCGGACGTCCCGGCACGAGCGCATAAACAACGGTGCCCCGGGCGAACTCCCCGTCGGACTGCGTGTATATATAGTCGCGCTTGTCCATCCGTCTCTCGCTATGCGCCAGTGCGCGCGTCCTAGCTGATTTAAGGTCGATCTGCGAGATTTCGACGGGCGGCGCGGCCGTGCTATTGTGTTGCCGCGGAACAATGAGAATTGCCGCCGCGCGCCGCCGCCTGCTACGTACGTTAATATATAGGAAGTGGCCCAGTTTGTGCTTCTTTCCTCCTCCCCCCACCCTCATTTTTTCATCGATTCGGACGACGATGGCATTGTTCGCGCTGCTGGAGAAATTCGCGCGTGATAATGACGATTTTGTTTGTGTGCGGAAGAGAATGTCGAGAGTTAAGCGGCGTTATGAATTTTACGACCAAACGAGATTGCTTATCGGGTGTACGTTTAATTGTCTTTCTTTGTTTTTGTGAAAGCGCGTTCGTGCGTTCTTTTCTATTCGCGTCTTGGTTTACATTGCGATTGGGAGTCTTTTTATGTTCGATTGGAATTTTCAATAATTTATTATTTATGAAAACGAGAAAAAAGACATTTGCAAGCAATACAATTTGGGATGGAAATAATATGGTTCACGAAAAAAAATATCGTCACTAACATTACCAGGCGAAAACACTATTACAGGCAATAAGCACGTGGGCTTTCGGTTTTCCAAATTTCTCTCCTCTCATCTCTAGAAAAACGATTGCACTGTCGAGTGAAACGCTCGACGACGACACGCATGCACATTCCTCGAGAAGCGAAACGAATTGTCAGGGAAGAAAAATGAAAAGATCGACGATTACCTGGCTGAGAACGTCCTGCATGTTGGCCGCGACTGTCTAGCACTGCTGAAAAGGCCGATCTGGGTTCGGGTCGACGTACCGACGCACTCGAAAAAGCTCGTGGGCCACAGGTCAGTCAGTCGGTCACTCGGTCCTCGCGTCAATTGCAACTCCGCCCGACTGACGCTTCCGCTTTACTCTCTCTCTGCGTTTCACTTTCGTCCCTCGGCCTTTGTCGTCGATCTTTCTCAGATTAATTACGGCGCACAGAAGTGTCTTTGTTTTCTGCACTCTGGCTTCGCTTGTCACGCCGACTCGATATCGCTTTAACTGCTCTCCCCCGCTATAATTGCACTACTCGCAAATGTCGGTCTTGGAGTCTTATCGCCGCGAATGCTCTGCAACGCTCTTTCTGAATGGCATCTCGTCTCGACCGATGTCTTAGCCGCGATTTCGGGCGCGTTCCTTTTTCGTCTGCCCCAACGTATCGTCTGCAATTAGCCAGACGAAGCGGCGCGATAACTGCACTGTTTGCTCAAGCGCCGCGCAGCGCCTTACCGGGTCGAAAAGTCAGGGAGCGATCGCCTCTGCATCTTCTTCGTCGCGGAGAGCGGCCGCTGGCATGAATAATGCATTCCGACGCCGGACTGACACGGCGAAAATCCAAAGCGCCGGAGCTCGTTCTCCCGCGAGAGCAGTGCCGATGCGCTTGGACCCGGGCCAATCGATGAGAAAGAAGACGGAGATAGAGAAGCTAGAATTAATTGGCGCATTGAGTCCCGACGTATGCGCTATTGTTTGCTGTTTATTTCAATGTTACGCGTACACCGCGAGCTGTGCCACGCTCGCGCCTAGTTCCGAGCCTGGCGTTCGATGACTTTCGGGGTGGCTACGTGCTACAGTGAATTCAGTGGATTTTTATAAAAGCACGATGACGTCATTTATTTGCCGAATTATTGCCAATTGCTGCAGTCATGGACGCGAGAATATTTCGAGACCGTACTCTATTACTCGAGCTGCAGCGCGCCATATGCTGCCGCGTTGATGAACTTTGATCTGTTGCTTCGAGATAGATATATGCCGCACGGACGTCCCAGCAAGTCGAATGGCAAATCTCGCATTTCCTTGATTACTTCGTTACCCCTCTTTAAAGTTCAATCATACAGAAATGCCTATGACTTCGAAATGAATGTAGCCTATGAAAGTATATGCACAACCATTCAAGACAATATTGTTTCGGTGACCAAAACGTTTTGTACTGATGGTTCGCTATAAAATTAAAGCCAGCAAATAAACAATACTAATTTAGTCAAGATAAGCGTATCTAGATTCAACAGCAGTTCTCAACTTACGATTCTCCTTTATAAAGCCAGAAAAATTGTAATAAACGTCGTATAATAACGTACTTCGTTTTGATTGTTTGCATAGGTTTCGCTATTGAACCCTGTGACAAGAAGGAATACAAATTTCAGTGTAAAACTAAATATCTGAGTGGCCACTGTGAGACTGAAATAGATAGTATTAGTACGACTGAGATAAGATACTATTTTACGTTTGCCGCGGAGAAGATTACGAAAAATGTATGGATGACTATAATGAATTAACGCATAATCAAGATCGGACTTGTGAATTGTATGGAGAGGTGTCGGCTCTTAATATAGAATGTTAATAAAAATGGCTTAATTAAAAGACTCTTAATTAAAATTAGTTATCGTCATTATTCCATTTGTATGTTTCATTTTTAGGAATCCCATTAGAGTTGTGTAATATTATTAGAAATAAAGGTATGGATCAATAAATGATTTTGGTATTTGTTCAAATGTTTATCTTTAATGAAATTTTTACGGTTACAATTTGTAAAACGATGGTACACTGAAAATATTGACGTTCAAATACAATGCCTAAAAGATATATAAACTGCTAGTTTTTGTAATACATGAAACAGAACATTACATTTTCTTATAAAAATAAAAAATGGTAATACAAATTCAAAAAAAATGATTATTATTCTCATTGTAAAAGTATAAAAATATACAAGTAAATCAAATTATTTCTAAAACATCACGCGTTATGCACGTTCGAACAAAGGTTGACATAGCAAATAATTTTATTCATACATTACGAAAAAAAAGTCACACAAACTATGGCTTCATCAAATTAACTTAATAATCTACTTGCAAAAAATCTCGACTTTACATATATCATCGCAATCATCAATTACACTATTAACAAACGTGAATGTTTCGTTATTCGATGCAGCACGATGGTAGTTTTGATCGATAACGACCGGAGTAGCCGTTGGACGTGGTTGCTCGCCGACGACTGACTAATAAGAATAAAAATAATCAAACTCCGGTGCCGCCTCCTCGTCATCCAGCGTGGTGTCCTCGCTCAAATATTTCTCGATCTGTGACATAAGCAGCGATCTAATCAAACTTGCTGTGTTGTATTCTTGAGTTTTCTCGGATTTCTTCTTGTTAGTGAAGATTTTGCGTTCGGCGATTTTCTGCACGAGCTTTTCTATCGCCGGGAGCTCCTGTTTGACAATGTCCATGGTCTCCGAGAATTCATTCAAAGATCCCATATACCCAAACTTGACGATCTTATCTTTCGCATTCGCATTATTCTTAACCAGATCTTGAATGAAGCGGACTTTTGCTTTTAGAACATACGACACAATCTCCATAAGCCAAGCTCTTACGTCGATTAGTTCCGCGGCAGCAAGTAGAGTCCTCTTGACGCGCACTAAGCTTTGTGCCTCATCCTTTTTGCTTTGAACGATATCTTTGACGAACTGTTGCTTCGTCGTTGTAGTATTCGACACAGCTTCGGCATCGTGGTCTTTCTTCTCGTGAACTGCGTCTACAACGGATTGCACTTTATCTTTCATACTTTGAACGATATCTTTGACGAACTGTTGCTTCGCCGCTGCAACATTCGACACAGCTTTGACAACATGGTCTTTCTTCTCTTGTACCGCGTCGCTGAGATCTTGTACCTTATCCTTACTGGTTGTCCTCTTGACGCGCATTGAGCTTCCTGCCTCATCCTTTTTGCGTTGAACCATATCTTCGATAAACTGTTGCTTCGCCGCTGTAAAATTCGATACAGCTTCGGCAACTTGGTCTTTCTTCTGGTGAACTGCGTCAATAACGGGTTGTACTTTATCTTTCATACTTTGAACGATATCTCCGACGAACGGTTGCTTCGCCGCTGTAGTATTAGACACAGCTTCGGCAACGTGGTCTTTCTTCTGGTGAACTGCGTCAATAACGGGTTGTACTTTATCTTTCATACTTTGAACGATATCTTCGACGAACGGTTGCTTCGCCGCTGTAGTATTAGACACAGCTTCGGCAACGTGGTCTTTCTTCTGGTGAACTGCGTCAATAACGGGTTGTACTTTATCGTTCATACTTTGAACGATATCTTCGACGAACTGTTGCTTCGCCGCTGTAGTATTAGACACAGCTTCGGCAACGTGGTCTTTCTTCTGGTGAACTGCGTCAATAACGGGTTGTACTTTATCGTTTATACTTTGAACGATATCTCCGACGAACTGTTGCTTCGCCGCTGTAGTATTAGACACAGCTTCGGCAACGTGGTCTTTATTCTGGTGAACTGCGTCAATAACAGGTTGTACTTTATCTTTCATACTTTGAACAATATCTTCGACAAACTGTTGCTTCGCCACTGTAACATTCGACACAGCTTTGACAACTTGGTCTTTCTTCTCTTGTACCGCGTCGACGACGCTCTCGACCAAGTTGTGATTGGACACGGCATCCACGATCGCCTCCGTCTTGCTTGCGAACTTATCAACGAGGTCTATAGTCTTGTTCAAAACGGCCTCCAACACCTGGTCTTTTTTGTGCTGTATATCACCGATGATCTCTTGTATGGTTTGCTGCTTCTCCTCCAACGTACCGAAAGTACGTCCGAACGTGTCGTGCTCCACGAATGGTTCGTCCAGCGCTTGCTCGCACGACGGCACGCCATCGATGCAGTCGCTCGTGACGATCATCGCCACGATCGGCAAATCGATCACCTTCGTGACGATAATAGACGACGGCTCGTCGTGCGCGTACAAACCGGTGTAACGGGGCTTCTCGTTGTGATCCACCGCATCAGGTTTCTCGTACATCTCCGGCATTGCAATGCTCGAGGGTTCCAAATCTTCCAAGAGGATTACGCTGCGTATCTCGCGAACATTCACCACCTTCTCGTTGCCGGCTTGGGGCGGTCGGTAGCACGGACTAGCTGTTGCGCAGACCGGCTGGCGCCAGCGAACCACCTCTATGGTACGGGGCGGATAGCTCAAGTTCATGCCGACGACGGACAAGAACAGTTGCACAAGCACGATAGGTATCCACAAGAATAAAGCTGCCATGGCGAATGTGTTCAGTTCACTCACTGACTGATTCGACTGACTGACTCGACTGACTGTCGAGGGTTGGTTTATATAGGATAGCAGGTCAGTTTTCCAGAAGCCCCGTAGTGGGAAAACGATACAGCGCTTGAAGGGCCATGGGCACCGCCCATTTGCCAGCGATGTCTGTCGGCTGTTTTCACCGGTAACAATATAGTTATGGACGTCAATGGGCTTTTAAGTAGGCGTCATTTCGGCTAATCGCTTTTTCTGTGCGTACCTGTGGGAGTGAAATGTTTCACGAACGTGCCTTGGAATGAATTGAAATTGTTTTGTATACAATGTTGGACAATAAAATAGGGCCACAAGTGACTAAAATCAGGTAAAATTCAAGGTTTTGTATTTCGACTAATAATAGTCGTACAGATGTTAACGAGTGCTCATTTGAAAGGTATTTCTAGGTAATTTACGAAAATTTATTAACTAATTTTAATCATTTTATTACTTTGAAATGGACGTTGAGAAAATGTAATATCTTAAATTCTGTTTAAACCTGCACAATTCAATAAAATAGTCATTTATAAAAGTTGGACGAATGATTTTCAAGCTCTCTCCAAGAACTTGTTAATCATTTTTTAATTACTTTTTTCCAAATTAACAACTAACCGAGTTATGGTGATTTTTGTCAAAAAAATAGTAACTTTTTTTTATCGCTTATATTTCCTACAGTAACTAACATACAACAAAAATATAAAGAGAAAAACTGTTCATATTTTTATCAAGAATCACTGAATTTTTTCAGATTTTTTTCAAATACATTTTTGTCTCGTTTTTTAG